CGGTCGTGCGTCCTGACTTTTTTCTGATGTCTCAATGAAATTGGTTACAGAGACTGGATGGCAGTCTGGACCACATTATTATATTATTATGTAGTTTATAAAACATATGGAACAAACTGTAACCAACCATCGTCCAAATCAGTATTAGACTACAGCCGCATCTTAGAGGGTATAGCAATAAAAACCTTTCCACGGTCGGTAAAACTACGACGATATTTACGCACATCTCCAATTCGTTTGAATTTTCTTTGTAATGTTACAAGCGTTTTCTATAATATTGACATATTTCAATTAGACACTAGACAGTTCAATTCTCAATAAAAAAAACCTGGCAACTAATAACGTTGATAATTATTTTAAGCAAAGGCTACCTTATTTACTTGACAATCTGAAATCGTTTTCTGGAGGGAGAGTGAGTCGCTAGTCTCCATAATATATTGATGAATTTTAACATAATTCACAAATGTTCACTTGTTAGTTTTTGGTTTCGTGCTAATATTATAAACGTGAAAGTGACTTTATCTGCCTGTCTAGTACCTTTTTACGCTTAAGCCATTGAAGAGATTTTTATGAAGGCAAGTACATAGATTGCATAATGGGGACGATAAAGACTAATCTTAATCTCCGGCCCGTTACCATACGAGCGGAGCCGCAAGCAATTACTATGACAATAGCTATAAATAAAAGGCTCATGAGCAATGTAGATACATATTTTTTCATTACATAATAGAATAAAAGAAATTGATATTAAAACCACTGAAGTGGTCTTAACACATTGTTACAAGCTATAGCAGTTATACTGTTTCAGGATATCTCGCGGAAATATTTAGATTTTTGGTTACCGATGCTTAGAATGCTTTACAGCAATCATGGTCACGGGAGAGACTAAGGTCTATCATTTAAAAAGTTATTATATACTCAATTACTTTACTACTTTACTCTTTCACTTACGGATGGCATCTAGAACAAGAAAATTATACATTAATGTGAATGTCACTTGTTGAATTCCAATACGATAAAAATAATGTTAAATCCTTATATCATTCTGGGAAACGTAATCATCGGGTATTTGGCGCCGGAAACTGTTCAGAATTTTGAACAAATAAGATAAATAATCCTGCTTGGTAAAAACAACTCCGATTTGTCACAAATTATTGATTGCAGATACTAGGAGTACACTCAGCTCGATATCTTTAGACCCCTTTTGGGATATTTTTTGCTCTATCATAGTGGGCCAATATTATCCAAATTGACTGTATCTTATTTGTATTCTTTACCTGATAAAAAAAAAGAAAATATGACAAAATATTTTTTAACCTATATTTAAAACGCGAACACTTAAAAAGTATAAATGCTACAAACTTGGACAGATGAATTCCTCAAAAAGAAAGAAGAGAAGGTTTATGCTAAGAAAGATTTTTTTGGAATTCAACCCCTAAAGGGATTTGAAATTTGTATAAAAATCTGATTTTTTTTAATTAATCCTATCCTGTTTATGATTTTGTATAAAAATCTGATAAACTACTCGGGTAGAGCCGTGGATAAATGCTAGTATTTAACAATTAAATTGAATGAATAAAATTTATCCAAAAGCCTAAACCTTTAGCCTTTATTGTGTATATTTCATTTATATATATATATATATATATATATATATATATATATATATATATATATATATATATATATATATTAATATAATATATATATATTAATTATGTACACTACACTTAAACAAGCGAAATCAGCGGCGGTTCAATATAAATGAATGATTACATATTTAAGAATTGATAAGATACCATTCGGCAGGTCCCATTAGCTCCACACCTTGTCGCACAGTCGAAGTTATCACGACGTGTTAAAATAACATAAATACATAGTGTTTTAATACAATGCCTCATGGAATAAAGGAATTTTGTAAAAAGATTAAATATCGATTTAAATGTTGGTAAGTAAATTATAATATACATTATTATATATACATATGTGGTAAAAATTGCCTGCTCGGGACCTATGTTGACAAATATTCGTGGATCGATAGATAGGTAAAACATTCTGCGCGTCAACATTTTTAGTTTCATAATACTTAGTTATTATATAAATTTTAACAGTATTATCACAGTTTAAAGATGATATACATTTTATTAATATACTAGAGACATACCCTCGCGTCGTTTGGGTGCGATTTAAAAAAAAAGATTTGTTTAGGTACTGGATGATATCTATACATATTACATATACCAAGAATATAAGTTAGGCGCGTCTGTACATTGCAAATATTTGCAAAAATAGTTCGGGGGACTGAGAATAGGTAATACAAGAAATTTCTATAGTTTTTAGAATGTTTGCCTGTCTGTTTGTTAGTCAGTTTGTGTATTTGAAATCGCATCAAATGAAAACTACTGAATTGAATTCAAAAGATTAGGAATATATTCATAGTCCGTAACTCGAGGTAATATTTAGTCATTATTTAATTAAAATGGAAAATCAAAAGTAATTACAATTTCAACTTACGGACGGAAGGATATTATTTAACGTGTTGCATTGACTGTGACGCTAGCGGGGGTGAAATTATAAATTAATGCTAATATCATATATATGATGAATAAATAGGCAAAAAAAATTGATAATTATTTCAAAAATTGTAAAATCTTTTTTTTTGCTATTTTAAATAAATACTGCTTATTAATTATTAGGAGTAGCGGGGAGTTTCAGTTTACTAATGTGCTGCATAGATGGCGTTATACAATTGACATGATTTTGTAAATCGCGCTGTTTAGATTTTTCGTAAAAGAGTAATCTATACATATAATAAAATTGTAACTAAGCTGAATCTATACATTAAATATTTTTTGGAAAATCTTATTGAAATAAACATTATTATCGATACAGAGGCCGAATCTATAGTTTTTAGAATTTTGTCTGTCTGTCTGTCTGTTACCGCATCAAAGAAAAACCACTCGAGGGATTTTGATGAAATTTGGTATGGAGATAGCTGGTTATCCGGGTCAACATGTAGGATACTTTTTACCGCAGGAAAATGATATTATTTCTGAGAAAAAATGCAAACACTGCAATATAAGAGTATTCTAATCTGTACAACCTAAGAATTTGGTTTTTGGTTATCTGAATCCGGGCGGAGCCGCGGGCAATGCTAGTACATAATATGTTTACATATTTGGTTGAATTGACGAATATTGATTGGTAGTTCCGTAACCTAAGAGTTAATAAAGTAGTAAGTCGGCGTGCTTTAATTTGTATCGGCTGGCACCGACTTCGAAAACATATGCCTAGGTATTTGTAGTAAATGAAAACTACGGGTAAAGTTGGTTTTTTATTTTTTTTAAGTTTCATTTTTCAATTTTAGTGTAGACGTAGTAGTAGCAAAGTAGAATGTATTTTAAAAAATTAGTGGGTGATAAATCAATGGTCCCCTATAATGCCTACACTCAGGGGTGGATTTTGTTTTCAAATGTAAATGGGACCAATTTTGAGGTATGCAATAAAAAAAGAATCATCGAAATCGAACTACACTGTAAAGCTAAGCTTGGTCAAACATATAAGGTCAATATATAGCGTGAAAATATTGGAAAAATAGTGTTGTTTACAGTAACTGTTTATTTTAATAATGTAATGAAAATACATACATCTTAAAAACAAGGTCTGCAACAATCACAGTTTTCTCTTTTTTAAACGTTCGAAAATGCATTTAGGCAGACCACATGCACACTTACAGGTGGTTATGTGGGATTCACCGGCAAAGCCAGTACTACCCACTAAAACCCGGTGGAACCTTCCACCTTCTTAATAGGGTGTCGCAGGATCGCTTACGCATTCAACCACGACGCCCCGATAATAGGTTGGTAGGTAGATAGCAGACCACAACAACCATGGGATTGCTCCAAAAGTTTACTCCGCTATCAGAGAGTACCAGGAGCAACCCTAATGGCACACCGCCCACCTAGGTGGGCCTCCCTGTGTTCTTCTATATAGTAGACACTGCTGGCTTTGTCGTAAAACGTTAGACCATAGAATACTGGAAATATCCATACTAATATGATAAATGTGAAAGTGTGTTTGTTTGTTAGTGGGGTAGAAAGTGATATAGACTACTTTTTACAGCGGGAAATTATCTCATTCTCACGGGAAAACACGTTATAATACAACCCACAACAATTCATCATACCTAATAATATATATATTTTAAACTGCCTCGGTGGTGTAGTGGTTATCATGTACGGCTGCACACCTGGAGGTCCTGGGTTCAAGTCCCGGGTCGGGCCAAGTTTAGTTATTGAGCCTTTCTGTAAAGTAAGCCTCAGTAACAGCCCGGAGTTGGGAAGTTGGCGGTGTTTCACCCCCGTGCCTCGGAGAGCACGTATAGCCGTCGGTCCTGCGCCTTAACTCTCACTGGTCGTGTCGAGCAGTCGTCCCGCCGGAGTATGAGAGTAACAGGAACAGAGAGTGCACGTTGTGTCTGCGCGTACACTTGTGCACTATAATATCTACTGCGCAGTTGGCTAGTCTCAACGAGATTGGCCGCCGTGGCCGGAATCCCTCAGGAGAACATCATCTTATATAGTTTATCTATTCCATACTAACGTAAAATGTAGTAACGTAGAGTCAGTGATAAAAGATGAGTAAAAAATAGTCGTTTAGATAAGTAAAAAAATTAAATAATATCGGTCAAAACAAATATCAGTGGTAGTGTTTTTTCCTTATATTCACTACATAATAACTTGGGGAGATACTCATGACGAAAACATAAACACGTTTTGTAATCGCATAATGTATTTTTATCACATATAATATAATTTAATGATATTATGAGATGCATGTAGTTATTATCCAACATTTTTCTTAGTAATAAGCTGATGTGCCCACGAGCAATGGACCGTAGCATTTTAGACGTTAAATTAACTGATAAAGATCAAAACGCTATACATACTACGCTCCAAAACACAAATCACTAACGTGGCTCAAAAAGTTAGAAAACTTGAATGGAACTAGGCTGGCCATATCTGCCTGTATGCCAGCAGGACTTTGGGCACAAATTACAAAGTCGAGCCCTGAGACAGGCAGGCGGCGTCGCGGCAGATTCAAAACTTGGAAACGTAGAGAGGAGGCCTTTGCCCAGACGTGGGATGCATAGTGTATGTGCAGTATACACTACACAGTAGATACATAGGTACACACATTATATACCTAAGTTATAATGATTATGATGTTTTCCTCCTTACTGATCGATTTCGACAACAATGTTCAATCTTAATGAGACTAGGCTGCGTAGAATACTGTTTGTTACATACATAGAATTTCTAGACTTCAAAAAAAGCACTAAAAAGTAAAAAATAACTGATTGGTAGTTTTCATTTAATATACATACCTAATCAAATATTTTCGAAGTCGGTGTGCTTTGCTTTGTATCGGCTGGCACCGACTTCGAAATTATTTAAGCGAGGGTAAGTATTTAGTAATATAATAAATACAAAAGGCATTCAGGGAATAGGGATGCACCTGGACGATGCGAGGATAAGCCGCTAGTTATTCTATACTTGCATTTTACTTAATAGTGCTGCATTGTTTGTAACTCAACAGTGAAAAAAAACGAAATAATAACTGCAACTGGCCGCAACTCAATACATACTGCGGGTGTCTGGAGCTGTCCACTGGAATCTACATCAGATCTGTGATTGTTGCGGTATAAACTTGAAATTTTACTAGATCATATTGATTTTAAAGTATTTTTTGTATCAATTATAAACTGAATTTCATGATTTTAATGATTAGGTTAAAGGTTTATTGCTTAGGTTAGCTACAAGGGTTCTCCATAAAATTAAAAAACACTCCAAATATAAAAGCAGAAATAATACTTTTAAAGAGATATTGAAGTTGATGTACTTTTTAGTTAACACATCCAGGTAAATTTCTAAGAAATTAATTAAATTTCTAAGAAATCTATCGCCGTGGTGTTCGCGGTCGTGGAGGGATAAAAAAAAGATTACATTTTTATATAAAATTTTCCATACACCGGATATTTTCAATAGAACAGCGTCACAATGAAACTATAAATAAACTTATCACAATCACTACAAAACTTTGGAAGTCAAGTGAGCACTTTGTAGGTAAGGGTACATAAGTGTCTATAATAAAGGATAATTAATTAAAAGTATGTATCAATTTTTTTCAGGTCGCAGTAGTCATATCTCTTATCCGAAATTGTTACCTTCTGGTGCATTTATGGAGTTCACGCGAAAACCTGTCCGCCGGGAACTTCTCTGACGGCGAGGGCGCGGAGCTTGACTTAGACCAAATTATTAGCATTCTTAGACTTCTTGAAATCTACTTTATATCATGGATCGTGATGATTGTCTTGTATATTTTGTTTCTCATAGTCACTGTATACGCAGTCTACAAGGTACGGTTTAGAAGAATTATTGTTTAAATAATAATTCTAAATTAAAAGTTAAATTGTTAGCTTCTTCTCCTAAGTTAATTTATTTAATAGGTGTTATTGTTCTCTCGCACGGTTCTTCTAAATTAATAGTTCTCCTACTTCCACGTGATTTTTTCCGCTCTGATGCAGATGCGTTATTCTTTCCACCTTAGGGCGTCCCAGTAGTCTTGCAGGAGCCAGTGTCCTGGATGCTTTCTCCTATTCTTGTTCATAATATCCATGTTATCGTGATATTTACTTATAAATAGTAATCATAATATATATAGTAATAATAAAAAATAATTATTAGATGAAAATATTGAACATTCTCAGTACGTAGATATGGTTTTAAGAACTATGGCACGATGAAAATACATTGCTAATATAAATTATACAACAAATGATATATTTATATTAAAAGTTTCATTTCCTTTTTTTACAGAAAAAACCAAAGGTGCTAAAATTTATAGTCTATACAAACATACCATTATGTGTTTTCTCGTTGCTCTATTCATTTTTCATTATGGCCATAAACGAACTGCTTTACGGTCATAGTTATAGAATATTCCTATTGATCAGTTACGGTAAGTACGAACAAAGGTTTTTTTACCAACTTAATTTACAAGACTTTATCGAAATCATTAGCAGTCAATAAAAAATAATATTACTAATAGTCTTGATCAGTACCGGCCCTAGCCTTTGATCAGGGTAGAGCGAAATTGTTTTTCAGTGCCTTTTAGTCGACGCTTTCACTTTACCTAAATTGTACTTTATGTTAAATAAAAAATAATTACCAATTTTTTCAAATCAACTTACATGACATGCAAAATGCAATCGACAAAAATCTACAGATTTTTCATCGTCACCCTACGGATTTTCAGAAAACTGAGCTAGCAACACTGCCCTGCATCTTCGTTATCATCTTGGCGCCATCAAAATTTAATTTTTGGCTGGAAATTACTTTTTGCATTTCATTTTTTGGCATCCTTTGCTACCTGCATGGCGCCTAGAGTGACCGCTCCTGTCATTCTACCTCTGGGCCGACGCTGGTATTGGCAATCAGAAAGCTTTTATGTGAAAATAAGAAAATATGTATTTATTTTGTTTTTGATCATTTGGTTCCCGACGTTTCGAATTCTTTATAAAAGTCATAGTCACGGGCAAAAATAAGGTTAAGGATTAAGGGTAGACATATCAAAAGTTATCTCAAAAGTTTCGTTATTACAGACAATACTACCCACAAATTATACAATAATTTTGAAAAAATGGAAAAAACACACCATTATAATATTTGTTAATTTTAAACATTTTTATAATTTTGAGGTATATAATCGAATCATAAATATTATTTATTATTTAATTTTGGTTGTCATTATTACAATTATTACAATTTTTATAATATTAATTGTAATTAATAATCGAAAGTTTATTGAATAATCTTACTTAGTGTTGCTATTATTATGTGTATGAACTAAAAAAAATTTAAATATTAAGTAAACATTATTGACCTATTTAAAAATGCCGGGAACCAAAAATCAAAATAAACCCGCGATAAAAATAGTACGAAAAGTTTTATTTACATATCAAATATTCGCGTAAATCGAAGTAAGTTTAAGAAGGATGTAATTTTAATGAAGATTTTATTGGTTCACAATCTACAAAGATATAATAAAAATATAACATTTAAAAATAAGTTATTAAATATTTTTGTATAATTGGCTAAGCAAAATACATAATTTTACTTACGAACTAAAAAAAACGTTAATTATTTGATTTTATTTAATGCAATTTTCAGTGTTGGAGCTGTACAACTTCTTGGCCATACGCAGTTACTACAAGCGAATACGGGGGAAATCTTTGTTGGTTGTAGAAGAAAATTTGGACTTCCAACCTCCGATAGATTCTACTCGAACAATAACCATGATTCAACCTACTACAATTAATGAAAGCAACATTGAAATACATTGCAGATCATGCACTTGCTTCAGACAAGAAAATATTCCTATCACCGAAATTGTAACTACACAACCAGCAGCGATACAACATCACTTAAGTTATGGAAGTAATGAAGAAGTAAATGAGGAAGATAACCGAGAGCCAAATCAGTCAGTAGCAGAAAATGTACAAGAAACGAATAGTGGAGCAACTGCAGCTTTGGAAGGGCGTGTAATAAAACCAAATACTTTAGACCTTTCACTAAAAACTGCTAAAGAAGATAAAATAGATCTATGCGATGTCCCCGTCATATACGATGAGCAGCAACTAAATGTTGGATCAAGTCCAGTGATAGAGGATAGAACAGTATAAGCAAAAACTTAAACAGCATTAAATCGATACGAAAAACTTGAGAAAATTTGGAAAACTGAAGTCATTTAAAATGTGTGCGCGTCATGTATTTTCTAATAAAAAGTCAGCCATCGTGGGACACTGACCAATATGAAACATATTATAGTTTATATTTTACTAAATGTTTTAATGTATTAGCACTGAGATAATTTTTATTTTTGTGATATAAAATATACAAAGATTTATTAAAATGATATGTTTAATGTTTTTATTTGAATGAATTAGAATTCTGTAAGTATAAGTTGATCTAATCACTTCACACATCACACATGTATCAAAAACGAGAGAATTTAGTTTACTTAATACTTTTTTTATTGTCACTCGAAAATATCAAATAATAGAATTACAAATTGTCGTAAAATTTCAACCCTAGAGCCTGATAAAGAGGCTTTGATAAATCATTTAAGTTCAATCATCATCATCAATTCTCAACTTGAACTTTAGGTGTACGTACTTCAAATGTGTTGAAATTAATTAATTGTTTTTATTCCATTTGCTGTAGAAACCCTTGGCCCATGGAGTCAAAGTGCTAAGCTCTTCTTAAAAGACATAACACCCCGTCTTATCACCTCTACTGGTGACAGGAGGGCTGGCGCATTTTTCGCCCAAGGAATCGGCATTGCCATTCAACTCGGGAATGCGGCTAGCATTCTTGCCACTATTCCACGCGGACATGACTTGTACAGTAATAACTAAGTGTACATATGATTTGTATATATAATTAAGTATATTTGTAATTTTCTTTTTTGTAAATAAAGTCTCATTATATAATTAAGTTATATTTTTAAAACCGGTACACTCTAGGTTCAGATATTGTTGACATTACTTGTGTAAATTGCTAGCTGTAATCAAATTACGCAAAAATAGTATTAAGTAGTAGTGTACCCTGCATGTAACCAAGGGGTGAAAAAAAGTTTTTGGGCTATCTTTGAATAAGTCTTTTAAATGACTTTTTTGCGAAGAAATGTCACATAGTTTTTTAAAATATTATGAGTTATTTTCTGTTTCACGCTGCAAATTAAACTTTATTATCCATTAAAATAGTATGAAATACAAAATTATTTATACTATCAAGAAAATTAATATAAAGTAGATGGATCAACGTTGTATCTTACTTTTAGGCTAACAAAGTACTTAAGCTAAACAATATAAATGTTGTATGCTATGCTGTAAACTTGCGGTACATGAAACAGATTCGCATTTGTTCATTATCATCTTTAGGAATTGAAAAAATATATAATAGGTATCTGGTATATATTAGTTTTCTTTTGATAATTTTACATAAATAATAGTAAGAAGCCCACGCATGTTATGTTATCTATAGACATGTATTTAATTTTTTCTTTCTTTCTGATAATGATGATCCCGTTACATATCTCCTTAGCCCTTTAGAAAACAATATCTTAAAAAGTAATCGATTAGTAGTACTTACTGTGGACGTTTTATTTTTTTTGTATACAAAATTTTTCAATTGGTATATCTGGCTAGCTTGTGGCTTTCCGGATGTTATTTGATTATACTAATATCAATGCAAAATATAGAGCTAGATGGTACATAACGCAAATGTGACGCACGCTTATTTCCTACAAGCGACGTATTCTCCCTGCGCTATCTTGCGTCTCTCCCCACGTTTTATAAAATAGTTATGGCGAGTGTACCTTAGAAAGAGAAAGAAAAGTATAACTTTTCTGTAGACCTTTTTAAGACTTACCATTGCTCGATGTTATAGCTAACACTTTTTTTTTTAATGTTGGGAAATGCATTTACGCACGACGTGTGGGACTCACCGGCGTAATACAGCCGGTACTACCCACTAAAACCCAACAAAACCTTCCCCCGTCTTAATGGGGCGTCGCAGGATCGCTTACGCATTCAACTACGACGCCCCGACGACAGGCCTGCCAAAGCAGACCACCACAACCATGGGGTTGCTCCAAGGTCCACTCTGCTATCAGAGAAGTACCAGGAGCAACCCGCAAGGTACACCGCCCCCCGAAGAGGACCACCTCCAACCGCCCACCGAAGTGGGCAACCTCCCTGTGCGTTTCTTATCTTCGCGCCCGGTTGGATTGCCGAGCACTACTGAGCCCCCCCACCACGACAAGGTGAACGCACGTTGGGGGGGGGGGGAGATGTTATAGCTGACACTGGTTAAACCTTAAGACATGTTGAGGTCTAGCCAGCGTTAGCCATGTTCTAAGGACGACTCGACAGAACCACTTATTGTGCTTTCCCAAGGGAATGGAAGATGTTCCTGTAGTAAAAAATATCTTAAATCCTCAGGTCATCAACCTGAGTAATAATTTATTACTACAAAAGATTTGTTTAAAATGAATAAGTACCTACCTCTTGCGAGAAATGCACACAGACATACAGACAAACAGACAAGAATATCAATAATTATTGTTTTTGTTTATATTCTATGTACTATAAGTAAGTCTTTGTTTTAAAAGTTACTATTTTATTATAAATATGAATAGATTAGTTTATTTTTGCACTCAGTACCCTCAGACTATAAGAGTAATATTCTTTAGCCTGAATCACTACCTTGTAATGTATCATCTAATGGTAGTACGTAAATTAGATAAGTAGCCTTTATAAATGTCCTACAGCTAAGTTCTGGTTTCCTGTGACGTGGGGTTTTACCACAAGCACCAGTACCTACCACAGAAAGCACCAAACCTATGCTGTAAATTTCCTTATGTACTGTATATGTATGTCTATTTGTGGTAGAAAATAAAAAACGTAAGTATTTATTATTTACTAGCGACTCACACTCGCTTCGCTCAGGTTCACCTCTCGGAAAACAGAAGCAAACCTATCCCACGGGAACGGGGATAAAAAGTAGCATAGGTATTATTCCAGATAATCTATGTCTGTGCCTAATTTGATCCAGATCCAGTCAACTGTTCTGGCGTGAAAGAGTAATAAACATCCATACTTACAAACTTTCACATATATAATATTTATAAAGATTTATTTAAATTTTGTTATTGTCTCACTACATTGCAAGAGTTAACAATTTTATTCAGGAATTTTATGTATCTTCGCACTTTTCATAACATGTTTACGTGTTCGGACTTGCCCCGGCCGCGGCCGTGCGGATGTGGGTTAGCGCAGTGAATACATCAAAACATTACTCATCTCGGAAGCCAATTGCGGAGTGTTCCGTGAACTGATAAGATTAACTTTGTGTATCTGGTGAAAACAACAGTTAATATTCAGAATTGGTGTGGTAATACCATGTAAATAATAAAATGTGTATCCAGCACGTTTATTTTTAGAATACAGCTACAATAGTAATAAGCTTTGATTATTATTTATTAATAATCTAAGATAATAAGCTGGATTTTTGTGCGTTAAATTTAATTTGCATAAAAAGCAGTAGACTAAATTTTATGATATTCATACGTGACGTCACACTTCATTCTAAAAATAATTAAAAAATAAAAGAAAAATAAAAAGTAAAAAATATCCTTGTCAAAAAAACCTTGATTATAATAAAAATAGTAATTATTATTATCATAAATGATTTTTTTTAAGTTATTATTTCCCCATAAAACCATAATTCCCATCTTTTGCCACTTATTATATACTTGCGACTCACCCTCGCTTCGCTCGGGTTCGTCCTTAGCTTGCTTCCCAACACAAATTTTCATCCCCATTTTCATCCCTTTAAGGGATGATTTCCGGGATAAAAAGTATCCTATGTCCTTTCCATGGTCTCAAACTATCTTCTTACCAAATTTCATCTAAATCGGTTCAGTAGATCCAGAGATTATCTCCTACAACGTCACGAACTCACAAACTCACAAAGTTTATAATATTAGTATAGATTAACTATTTCTAATTAGGTAAACAAAAACCTATCTCTTCTAATTAATCCGTTTTCATTTACAAACAGTTACAACGCGTACATTTTGTTATGTAAATATGAGATAATAAAGATGTCTGTCAGAGCACAAAGGTTATCTATCATACATGTAACTTAGTTTCCTACTATTATATTTAATGAAATCTGACTTCCAGACAATAAAAAAAACCAGCTTCTAGGCACTAAAAAGCAAAAAATAACTAAACGGATATCATTTATGTACTATAGATACCTAAACTGATATTTTCGAAGTCGGTGTCACTAATTATTTGACTTTTAAGACAATTTCCAAAATTCTAACTAATCATATAATTTGGCGTCTGAAATCTAAGTCATTATCGGTATCAGTTAAACATTTTTTTTTCGTAGAAGTTGGTTATACCTACAGTAAATTACTCCCTCTACGACTGCGGATACGCCGGCGTTACAGTTAACATTATGTTTCTTAGAAATTTGCCTGGAGATGTTACAAATGTCCGTAATGTTAATAATGTTAATTCAATAGCACCTCTTGAGCACACCACGACACAAATCTAATCATTCCGATACAGTAAAGTGTCGGAGCTAACCAAACTTGAAAAAATGGACCTCCTCATAAAAATTATATTTTTTGTGTAATTTTTTTAAGTGGCGCGTAATATCACACACTCGGCACATTTCAGCACATTTTCTATTTTTTAGAAATTCAAAAATTGCGGGGCCAACATTATGGACATAAATTACAAATGTTATTTAAAATAAAAGTATTGTTAGATAATATTAATTTATAATTTGGAAGGGTTGGCTTTGGAAGTGACATACACGTATTATAAAGGGATCGTGATCCTGAAATCGTGAATACTGTGGGGATTTCATACAATTTTCCATCTACCCTCGTTTAATTTCCCGTAACCCAATATGTAAAACAAATCAAGTTATCAATCACATTAAGACAGCGTTTTACTGCGTTGTGCTTATACAAGTATGAATATGCAGCTCTTAGTGGTACTCTGAAAAAAATAATCAAAATTTTCCCTCCTGGAAATTGTGTTTCACATAGAGAGTTAGTACACGAGACAAACTTCCTTTTATTTAACATAATAAAACATATATTAAATACTTACATGTTATATTGGAAACAGCTAGCTAGCTAGCATTACCCGTGGCTCCGCTCGCGTCCAAACAACCAAACACCAAAGTCATAGGTTTTACATATTAGTATTATAACGGATTCACTGCGCGCCGCAAGATTGTAAAACAAAAATTGATGGTGATTGGCAATGCAACAAAGGTTCTTCGTCCTTTAATCTCAAATTTAATTTAGTAATATTATATTTTTCGTTTTAACAACATTTATAGTATTTCTATACTTCTATATTAATATTTTATATAGAGGAAAGATTTCTTTCTTCATTTGGAGGCGATAAATTCTCAAACTACTTGAACATATTTTAATAATTGTTTTATTATACAATAGTTTTACTATACTATACAAAAGATAGCTATTATATAGTATAGTAAACTATACTAAATAGTAGGTCGCTAGTTAATCGTATTTTCGGAATGATTTTGAAAAGAAAATGTTTGTAAATTTTTGCTCTGATCTTGAAATATAAAAATCCGGCAAGTAGGTAGTAAAGGTTTCTAAGTATTTTTTTATTATTTCATATAGCTTGGCTAATATGGACTAAATTAGCCGAGTTCTATGATTTTCATTGTGTCCAATAAACCGTTCTCTTCTCTACATTTCAAGAATTTGTGTAAAAAAAATCTTAAGAAATTTAGGTTAAAGGGCTTTCAAAACACCTTTTAACAAAAATTGCTTTGCATAGTACGATAATATTCTATACGTTACGTAGATTTTGAGATATGGAATATTTCCAGTCACTCGCTATGTTTGTTTTCCATAATATGTTAAAATGTTGCATGAAACACGAGTTGTAGGTATCTATTTTTGTGGTTGATAAAATGTGTCGATGTTTTTATTTCAGTGTTAGCCTAACAAAATTTATGCAGTAGGTACGTAACTAACTAAATGCAACACAGTATTCGGCGGTACGAAACCGACGATGCGCGAGTTGGATTCGAACTTTTTTTATATTTAAAGATTATTAGCTTTTTATTATTATCATTTACTAAACAAATATTTTCATTCGAAAATTGTGTTACTAATAATATATTATTAATTTATAATGCCAAATAGTATATATTTTTGATCATTTTATAAAATTCTAATAAAATCGTTGAACGGTCATATATATGGACACATACATTTTTTTTTAATTCACATATTTTAAAAATACATGGCGATATCTAGGGATGATTTTTTAAATGACACATAAATACATATGTTAGGTTTATTTTAATGAAAAAAAATGCTTATTATTGATAAAAAAATCAGGATTAGCGATTTTTTTTTTGTATTTTTTTTGCATAAATATTTATAGTTTCAGTGTGGTTTTATGCTAACAAGTTTATGTATTATTTCTCAGAAATAAGATATTTTCCCGCAGCAACAAGTATCCTATATTATGTTAATTCAAATAATCAGCTATCATCATACTAAAATTCATCACAATCCTTCCAGTGATTTTACTGTATTGCGGTCAAAAACAGACAGACAAAAATTCTAAAAACTGTAGATTTGGCGGTTAGCCTATGTATCGTTTATTCAATAAGATTTTCTAAAAAATATTTAATATACAGTTACAATTTTATTACATTATGTATAATAGATAATAAAAGTTGCCACTATTTTGCCAACTTAATCAAAGATCGCCTCGTACTAGCCAAAAGATATAATTCATTCTTCTTCATAATATAATATGTAAATTTAAACTTTATATAAAGCTATTTTTTCAAGGATCTATCTAGATTTTTGGTTATCGAAGTTTCGAATATTTTATAGTATTCATATCTCTCCCATGACCATAACAGTTTTAATAGATAGTTTATTTAAAATGTTTGACACTCTTCATCCTGAATTATAATTTTGATTTTAAAATTATATTGTAACATAAGATTTATGTATAGTATGAAATACCAAGTACCTAGATATGTAAGGTAATCCATAAATATTGGATAAACATATATTGAGCCACCAAACAACACATATGTATATATAGATATATTTATTTTTACATTATACTAGCAGAGCCCGCGGCTTTGCCCGCGTTCAATCTACAAAAAGAAAAATTCTGTTGCTTTATGTTATATAGCGAGTAGCGACTCACCCTCGCTTCGCTAGTGTTCGTCCCGTGTCTGGTGGTACCCGGCAAACCAGCCGGGCGCGAAGCCAAGAAACGCACAGGGAGGTGGCCCACTTCGGTGGGCGGTGTACCAGGCGGGCTGCTCCTGGTACTTCTCTGATAGCAAAGTGGTCCTTGGAACAACCCTGTGGTTGTTGTGTTCTGCTTCGGCAGACCAGCCGTCGGGGCGTCGTAGTGGAATGCGTAAGCGATCCTGCGACACCCCATTAAGACGGGGGAAGGTTTTGTTGGGTTTTCGGAAGCAAAAAACCCTTATGAGATAAAAACGTAAACATCGCCGTGACCAAAACATCCATATGAATGAAGCACGCTTACATATAGTATATGTATAGCAACTGTCTCGTGCGATATCAATTCAGTAAGTTCATTGATATCTACTGAGGACGGACGTTCCGTTGACATTTTTTATATATATAACTATTATTCAACTATCCAAAATGTTTTGCGAGTTACCACAATTTACAAGATGCTGCTTCTGCATGCCCTTGAGAAGGGGTGTTTTGACTTTTGGATATTTAAACATAGTAAGTGTTGTATGTCCTAAAGTTTAATAACTTTCATAACTTAATGGGTCAAGGTTAAATGAACATGTTAAACTTAATGTACTTAAAGGTTAGTGCAATGGCTCATCTACGGGAAGTTATGATTTATCTATTTAAAAAATTTAAGCATGATGTCAACAGTGAAGTAAATTTTTATTGCAAATTAAATAGTAGGTACATTGTTCGCCGGAGGACCCAATTGTTGAATTTTATTTCTACAGATTGTTTCAAAAAAGTGTTCACGATGTAAATTAATAAAGAATTCCCATCTTTTATGCAGTAGCTGCTCTTAAGTTTATTTTATGCAATACTAGCGACTTACCCTAGCTTCGCTTGGGTGCTTTACTAGGTACGTTTTAAGTTTTTTGAGCGGAATCCTAGTTCTTTTTCTAAAATAAAAATAGTCTAAGTTACTCCTTATAACATTAGCTATATATCAATGAAAATCCCGTCAAAATCAGTCCAGACGTTTCGGAGATAGCCGGAACAAACAGACAATCATTATGATATATCATGGTTAACTGACTTATTGCTTAATGTAAACATTTAAAAAAAATGATTTGTATTAATGTACAATTCGCACACCTAGATAAAAAGTAGCTCAACTCAAAATATCTCATTTTTTCAGGAATAGGAAAAAATGATTTACTCTTATTCTATTTAATATATTAAAAATAATCTTATGTGTTCTCATATATAATTTTACGAAAATATTTATTTGATCAATGGCTTGTCATCAAAAAGCAGTATCACTTGTAACCAACTTTATAACAAACGCTTGAAGATATTTATTTGGAACACCAACTAACCAACTACATAAATATTAAACACCAATAATTCCAAACATTTTTTCGTTTTAAATTAGTAATCATGACAAAATCATCAGAAGTATGTAGTTTACAACGAAGATTCCTATAATAGTAATAACTCGAATTTGGATTATTTGGAGTTGTGCTACTTTTTATCTAGGTGTGCGTCTTGTAGAATGTCACATCGTCTTAGCTCTAGAGTTAGCGTTTGTAAGAAGTATTATCTAAGTCCTTGAATATGTATTTGAACTCTTTGTTTGATAGTTCTTTTTTTTTCTTCCAGATCTTCTCCATGTTTATGTTAGGGCTTTACAGTTACTCGGTTCACAAAGGTTTTGGAGTTGAGCTGGTATACCACGGCGTGTCGACGTCGGCGGAGGCGGAGTTATGCATTGCTATATACTGTGTTGATATCCTGTTCAACGTGTTAATGGTGTATGGAGCTCATAAGGTAACTTTTTGAGTTCCGAGATTCTAAGAGAAAAATTATAGTGTGTAGTGTAATTCAAAATAGATTTTTGGGGTTTATCTATGGCTTATTAAATCAATCATAAATTATGAAGTGTAACAAATGGTATATTAAATAAAAGGGTTTTATATGAGAACTACAAATAAAAGTATAGGAGAAGGACCGAATATGGAATACATAAACAAATTCTAAAAAAAATGAGTACAAAAGTTTTATTTTAATCAGTTTAATGGTTTACAATTAAATGCAGTCGTAATCACTCTAGAAAAGTAATAATGAAATCAACAAATAATAAACACTTTCCGTAATATTATTAACTAAAATAAATCAACCAAAAAATTGCTTCTCAAAAATGTGATCCTATTATGGAATACCCTATTCCATAATAGGATCACGTCTCGTTAATCAAAACAAAATAATAAAATCAACCCTGCAAGCAAAAATCACAAATTAAATCTGCATGTTCTGATCCGGAACACGCACGTGACACCAATGTCTACAGGCAATGCACTGAATCCACTCTTCTCCCTTTATGTCTTCACTGAAAAAAACAGAGCAATAAATGCACCCAGCGTCAGCATTTGGATCGTACGGTTGAGTAACTGCGGGCTTATCGTCACTATAATCATTAGATAAATATGGTATTTCTATCAGAAGATGATTCAGACTTCAACACTGGTTTCTACATTCGCTTGTTTTTCTGACAGCCTCTCTCGATGATGGCTGTGGCTATATGAAAGACATGTGCAGCTCTCTTATAACCCATTGTATGGGTTTTCACCGCTTCAATAGCATTTTCCTTATTGGTTTTGTTTCAGGCTTTTTGGTTTTTTACTGGCGAATCCATGTTGACCATGAATATATTTGTAAAAGAGAGAAATAGTAATAAGTCACCACATTAAAAACTTACTTACGTTGAGATCCTAATATAGACTAGTATTCCATATTAGGAACTCGACGATATTCCATATTACGAACAATATGATGGCGGGAGGAAAAAAAATATAACTTTTTTTTATTATTAAATATTCATAAAATAACAATACCATTTAAAAACTATATATTTCGATTAGATACTCACCAACTTATATCGAAATATTCATGTAGGAATAATAAGAGAACATATACGTAAAGCTTACGTAAATATCCAATGGATGTTTCGTCAACAGTGTCGCGCACTCTTACTCGCATCTAGTGCTGCCAAAACCCACACTCCCACTGGCCGTCGAAGGCGGGTAGCGAGAGGGATACTATGATATACGTCTAGAATATTCGTGGCGCTTAGTTTTAGAAATATTATGGTGTTCCATATTAGGAACGTATTCCATAATTGGTACTTTTCCTATATAAGTAGTTACTCCACGAAGACACGGGCCTTTGTGGATCAGAGTTGTAGATATTTTATGATTTTCATAGTGAATTAATTAATTGATATTATATAACCGAATATAAAATAACAATAAATACGTATATGTATATGTGTATTCGCATAACCCACTCACTACACAATATGTTGGCAACATTACCTACCTGGGTTTTTAATGGTAATATATTCCAAATATTTGAACAAATTTACAATTTATTTTCAGCAAATCGAATCTTTTCTAAAGATTTTCTACTATTACACACTCTCTATAACCGTTGCGGTGGGGATAATAGAAATTGTAACTATAATAGACATGGGATTCTTCTTCCAGATAGAGATGATCACTTTCTTCTTAGTAGGATTATGTAAGTACTAGTCTATCTCTAAGGCACTATAAGCTAGATAAAAATAACAAAAATAATAATAACTGCATTAAAAATAACCACAAAATAGCATCTGAATTAAAAAAATACATAAAATAATTAATTTTATATACAAAAAAATATATTGAGTAATAAAATATTACAATATATTCTTATGTTGTTTATGTTAAGTAAGTTATCTTCCCATTTTGATTTTTTATAATATGTTAATTTTTCCAGGCCTCCATCTTTACCTACTGTTTTTAGTGCGAAGTCTTCTGCAAAAGATGGACGATTCAGGACGCGCCTACGAGAATCAACTCCACCAGTTTTTTAACGGAGAGTTAAAACTTGGAGGGGGTGGAATATATCCCAGCACCGTTATACCTGTTGAACGTGTATAGGATTGATTTTAAGATAAAGTTAAATAGATTTTGATGTTTAGCAAAAACAAAGATTGCATTATGGGAAATTTTGTCCCTACGCTGCTTATCATGCAAGCAGAGTAGAGGGAAAAAACTATACTCTAGTTTTTAAGTAACAATATATTGATAGAACAAAGGGTCTGTATGTCTCATTGCCACAATTTACTTTGAACTAAGATAGCAAGTCTCTTACAGCAACACTAGCAATGTAATATCAATAAAGATATTTTACCGAACAGGAATCAACGAACCACTGCGCCTAACCTCACTATTACTACAAAATTAGAATTTATTGAAAATGTTATTTACTCTTTAGATGAATTTTAGTCGATAGTCTAGATAATTGTATCTAGACTTGTGCACAATAATAATTTATTTTATTGTAGAGATATATTTTTGGTTTATTATAAATAAGTAGAATGTAATGTTTAATGCCAAAGTTATTGTAGTCAATGTTAAGATGAACGAGTCTCACACGAATCTCTCTCAACGTGAAGATCATTATATTGCAAGAGACGCCGCACACTCCACACTTTTTATAGGGTAGTTTAGTTAGGTTCATAATGATTACGAACATAATATTACCGACCGGTGATATCATATTTAGTATGCTGGCTTAGTTAAGGAGTACAACTCATATAATGTATTTTTTTTATATTTTAATTCAACGGTTTATTAATTTTAATTGACTCTAGAGTAAGTCCAGTCTTTGTTATTGTTATATTTAATTGTTATTTATTATCATTTAATGGCTGTGTTATATTAAATATATATATATATATGTATGTATATATATATATATATATATGTATGTATATATATATATATATATATATATATATATATATATATATATATATATATATATATATATGTAGCATAATGATTAAAATAATAAAAGTTTTAAATATGATAATAGTAAGTAACTACAAAAATTGTTTAGTTTAAGATGAAGATACAAGGACCTATATTACGGTCTTTGTTTTTGTATATTCAGATATAACTTTACCAGGAAAATAAAATAAACTAAATGAAAGCTATCGTATCTTTTTGATATAACACGCATCACCTTATAAATTTGTTTCTATCCCGGGATTTTATAAATCCAAGTTAAATCTACGTAAGAAATACATAATATGCAGTTATTTCTGAATACTTATAAAGCATTTATCATAGAAATCTTTATTTTATTTATTATTGTTATATTATTATAAGCCTGTAGTGTCCCACTGCCGGAAATTGGTCTTAGATTAAAATTAAATAAATGTAAATTATTTGAGGAGAAACTAAATATTGTTGTAAAAAAAACTGGTATACAAATTGAAGAAAGTAAAATAGCACCTAGGTATATTATCTTTGCCACGGCAAGAAAACACAAAAATGTTAAAATCAATCCTGGGAAGTGGGAAAGGTTAATTATTATAACAGGTTCTTGCAAAATATGGCAATAATATTAAAACCTTTTTATGATTGTTTATAAAAATTTCCATTTGAATGGACACAAATGTGATAAGTCTTTTAGCCAAATAAAAAAGGCACTTTCAAACACAGCTACATTATCACATTTTGACCCAAATTTAATGGTCATATTGACATGTGACTCAGTAGATGATGGTGTAGGTGCTGTTTTATCAACGACTACTCAGCCCGAATTAGCGATGGGCGTTGAATGAACGGACTAGTTCAATCAACTGGTCGACGATGCGTCAACGGTTTGACGGTTCACGTATTTCAAATGAACTAGTTCAATTCATAGACTAAGACAGTCCGTCTCGCAACGTAAACTAGTAACTATAGACTGTCTAGCGTCTACAACTACATTGAAGCGTACGTCCACGATTTGAACTAGTCGACGAAAGATAATGAACGGTCTAGTTTCGATCACGCTAAATACGTCGACGACTCATCGCTAGCCCGAATAGGCGCCTAAATTATGTACTTCTGCATCCAAATTCCAACCTGTCAGTCAAAAGTCTGAGGTAAGCGGTACGGGGGAGGCGGGTTGAAATGCACGCTGATAGTGATTGGTTAATTCTCACTATGTGTAACTCAGCTCAGAGCCGGTTCAAATATTCAGTTCACAGTAGCTAGAGCCGTTGAGCTGCGGCTCAGTTGCTAGATAATCGGTTCACAGCTCAATATTACTTAATATGGCTCCGTGCATCACTTCAGCGCCACCTAACGTCAGCTATTTCGATGGACCCGAGCCGACGGACCTGTACTATAGTCTATAATCTATACTTTTTACAGACAGGTCAAATTAATTGTTTAATATTTTTTATTCTTATAATAATAATAATTAATTACACGCTCCGTGTTTTAAAATAATATTAGGATAAAATCTAAATATACTTTATTCAAATAGACTTTTACAAGCACTTTTGAATCGTCAATTTTACATTTTAAATTTTCAGTGTAGTTAGTTTGTGCGGAAGTTACCACCGTCTCGGAAGGCAGTTCTACTACTTAGTTTAATACAACAATAAACTAATATTAAGTAATAGTTTTATAGATTAAATATAAATAACTAGTTTTCGCCCGCGGCTCCGCTTGCGTGATACAGGAAACTACGGTAGTCGGTACCTACGTTAATTAAAGTAGGTAGGTACTCTATGTCCTTTTCTGTCTGTATTTAATGATAATCGAGATTCAGGTGAATAGTTAAGGCGTGAAAGCATAACAAACAAACAAACTCACTAGCATTTATAATAATTGCATGAAATTAGCATTCCCCTATAATTGTGTAAGAACGAAAAAATATGACTATAATAACTTTTTTCGAAATGCTGCTTTATTACATACAAATATAATTTAGGTACATCATACATGTCATTTGTTTGAACAGAGTCATAAATTAGCTGTAAATCTATAGTTATAAGTACCCATATAACATCAATTGAGCTGAACTGTGAGCCGGTTCACAGCTCCGGTTCAAACATATGACTCATGAGCTGACCTGCAGCTCATAAAAATTCATTGAGTTACCCATGTCTAGTTAATTCAAGGTTGCGACACTTGCTAATAAACAAATAGTGATGGGAACTTGGGTAATAAATTTGGTACCAACTCTACTTAATGAGTAAAATAATCATATAATACTATAAATTAGTACAAGAAACAAAAATAACAAATGAAGTTTTAAATCATATCGTAGGTAGGTATCGTATTTAGTAAAATAATTTTCTGTTTTAAAGAATATTTTTAATTAAAACAAGCTTTCTTTACTATAATGAAATATTAATAGAATACTTAATATTATTTATACAGTTTTATTTAAGGTTTATTTACAGGTTTATCCATGGTTAAAGTTTTCGGAAAACTGTCCCTTACACTCTGTATAACTAAACTACTACTTATATTTACATGAACTTATTATTTATAAAAAAAATACATTAGGTACTTATAACAATTATTTATTCTTTACATTTAGTTCTTTCGTGGTTACGTCAATTTTGTTTAACAAATTTACATTTTGTTTTTCCAAGTCTTTTAATATTGATTTTAATGAAGCTACTTTTTTACGAAAATAACCGATTTTCTGTCTTAAATTTTTAATCTGTCTATTTTTTTGTATAACTTTTTCACTTAGTTCTGTTATTCTTCTAGAAAGGCGTTTGTTAATCGACGTGTTATAATGAGAAGGATTTTCGGGACAGATTATTTTTCTTGTAGGTGTTACTGAGAGATTCGAAATATTCGAAGAAGAAACAGATGGACCCGGATTTTCTGGTACGTTTTTTGGATCACCGTTGTTTGTCTGAAAATTAAATTAAATAAGTTATTACGTTTTATCTGACCAAACCATAATAATAATAAGTATCTAGAGATTTTCGGGTATCAAAACTCTACAACCAACTTCGAACGCAAACAGAACTGATTTTTATAAAATTTACTAGACTTATATCCGCGATTTCGCCCGGGGGATTTTTGGTTATACCGCGCTCCCTCAAGAACAAGTCAAAATTGCGGGATAAAAAGTACACTATGTTCAAATCCCTATAATTATCTATCTGTATGTCAAATTTTGTTAAAATCGGTCCAGTAATTTAGGCGTGATTGAGTAACAAACATCTAAACTTTCGCATTTATAATAAAAGTAGGATTAGTAGGATGGGATCAAGCTAAAATTGTTATTTTTATATAAAAAATCAATTTTCCAAATCAGTCCAGATGTCTTCTCGTAATCGCGCAACACATAAAAATCATACAGAGGAATTTAGAACCGAAATTGCAAATTTATCACGACCTTATTAGGGTGTTTCGATTTTTCCTCACCAATATAGGTAAAAACAACGTTGGTACTGCGGAGCTGAGCAAACGTCGACTATTTTTCATGTTAATAAAACAATCCTCTTCGAAATGTCGTGAGCAAATCACGCTGTGTACTGACGGAAACCAATTTTCACGTCTCGTAGCATTTAACCACTTTTCTTTTATATTTGGATCTTTTGGAAACCTAAATAAAATTTGATACACTTTCAATTTATTCAAATAATGATTAAAGCACATTCGCTAAAAAAATCAGCTTACAACTATATCGTTTGTAAAACATTCAAAAAACATGCATAACCTTGTACCAATGTTATAGTTTAACTGGTACAGCACTAGTTACACGTGCCGGTAATTAAAGAAAAGTCTAGCAACAATGAACTGCATTGAAAAGAAAGGGATGCATAGTCCGAGAATGTCCGAAGATGTACGAATACATCAACGCGAGTTGCGTCACGACCAATATAACTTGAGCTCTGATTTAATTACATTTAATAAATTTGGAAATTAAAATTCACTTACCTATGAAAAGTGATGCCATTTTTGTTTAAATTACACGTTTGGCTACTATTTCCACACCATCTTATTGTACAGGGAGCCATGTTGCGCGTTTGTTGTATTTTTTGTGTCGAAAATTTACGAGTCTCAAGCAATGTGTTCTCGGGTCACGGATGTGGTCGCTACTGATGTAACTCGCGCGATCGTTTTATTAAGTAAGGCGTATTTGTCTAACGTGTTGACTGAACGTGTTCATCTTGCGTGAGGTGTCTATTCGGGCTGAGTAGTCGTTGTGTTTTATCAATAAGGGATAGTAGTAGGTAATATCATAAAACCTGTAGCATTTGCCAGTGAGAAATTAAATGATGCACGAATTAAATATCCCATATTAGAGAAAGAAGCTTATGCTATCATTTTTGGAGTAAGTTCTATGAATTTCAATATGGGCAAAAATTTATTTTGTTTGCAAACTGATGATGATGTTCTCCTAGCCGATTCCGGCCACGGCGGCCAATCTCAATGAGATTAGCCAATTGCGCAGGAGATATTATAGTGCTCAAGTGTACGCGCAGACACAAGTGCACTCTCTATTCCTATCACTCTCATACTCCGGTGGGACGACCACTCGACACGACCGGTCAGAGGGTCAGAGTTAAGGCGCAGGACTGACGGCTTTACGTGCTCTCCGAGGCACGGAGGTGAAACACCGCCAACTTCCCAACACCGGGCTGTTACTGAGACTTACTATACAGGAAGACTCAATAACTAAACTTGGCCCGACCCGGGACTCGAACCCAGGACCTCCGGGTGTGCAGCCGTACATGCTAGCCACTACACCACCGAAGCAGTTAAGTTGCAAACTGATAACGAAGCACTATCAAAAATATTAGACCCAAAATATGGTATACTAAAAATGGCAGCTAGGCGGTTGCCGGTTACAATATTGGGCAATATTCTTAGCTTAGACGCTTTTGACTTTTATTTGTCATCCATGCTTTTGACCATACAAGCTCTTGATGGACCTATCTATCCCTTTCATTTGCTTGGTAATTAACATGCTATCTCTACATTTGGCGACAACGAGTGAGACAACAACTTATTTCTGTCGAGTGTCGCAGTTATATACGTCATTACTGTGACGTCATTCCAACATTTTGTCATTTTTGACATTTTCAAGATTTAACTTTTAACCGTTGTTAATTGTTATTCTTATTAGTTATTATTAAATTTAATCATCCCTGGGGACTAGGGTGTGAGGGCTTGCCGTTCTTTAGATTATTTTATACTTTAAATTTACATTTGATCAATTTTCAGATTAGTATTGATTAATGTGGATAGGTGCTGATTAATGTAGATAAGTGATATAGTTAAAATTTGTGCTTGGATACAAAATTTGTGATTTCTTCATTAGTGTTTCTCTTCCTATGTTTGGTTTTTTTATTAATGTTGTGTAAACATGGAAAAGCACTGTAATATTCCAAATTGTCAGAGAGGAAAAGGTTTTTCATGCCATATACAGATGCACTTCAATTTTATAACGTATACTTATAGAAATTCTTATAAACGGGGTTTATTTCTAGAGTAACTATCTGACCAGGGCTCTGCCAATTATAGCTGCAATAAATTTATTAATTTCTGATACTGAGGTAAATATACTTCGTAGTGTCAATGATGCATCAAGTGCTATCCATTATGTAGTTAATGGGAACAAAATCTATCATATGTATGATGTACCTCATTTACTGAAATGTTTCAGTAATAATTTTCAGAAAAAGAATATTTTGCTTCTTGGCAGTCAGCGTGCTCAATGGGATTATGTTCACATTTTGTATAAAGTAGATGACCATAAAGGTGTTGCAAGGCTAACAAAACTTACTGACAAGCATATTTATCAAACTCTTTTGTTAAGATGAAGGTAACTATATTGTTAAGTTTAATAAATTAAGGTATATATTACTTTAGATCTTGGATATTATCTTATCTTTAATATAAAATTGTTTTTAAGAAAGAAACTTCTTGAAGTTATTGATAATACTATACTATTCTATTCTAATAGGTAAAATTGAAGAGTTTGTTTATTGTTTAAATGCACTCATCCATGTAATGCTCAGTCTATTAAAAACAATTTATCAACTGTATAGCCTATCTATTGTTTAATGTTAAAAGCTATTTAAGGGCCTAATTAGCTTATCTACCTAGACCCTAATAATAATAAACTATTACTATATTTACATAAGCTACTATTCATCTATAGTAGTTACTAGTAATTATACTATAGTTATTGTTTAATTGACTATTGCATTTGTTGTATTACATTAATTTATAATAATATATTTACAGGTGAAGTATATGCTGTGCAGGTGTTTAGTCGAAGTGTTTCAGGATCTATAAGTCTTCTGATAAAGGCTTTTAGTTTCCAGAAAGAACACAATTTTTGTAATACATTACATGTAAATATTGAGAATGTCTTATTCACAGCATACATTTTATTTTATTTATTTATTAGAAAATACATTATCCTTCTAAGAATCTGTCATCTCTAGTATGGTATGCAATTTACATAATTGAAAGACAATTACCAAAGATTTGTAAAGTTTACATATTTCCCGATTTAATAAAATCATTTGAAAATCTTGATACCACTTGGTACACATATGTAGATCATAAAGAAATATTTTTAAGAGCATTCTCATTATTTATGATATGTATAAAAGTTAGACAATGGCATATAAATTTTAATTGAAGAATGCACAAAGTGGATTCGAAAAAAAAGGGTCTGTAAATAGAAAATTTGCTTAATACGAAAGTATCAAAAGGGCCTAGCTATGGTTGAACTCATCTTCAGAGTAGTGAATGATTTTCTAATATTTTTTCATTATATACATCATTAATTAACTTTTAATATTTATTACTATTGTTTGTTTCATTTCTTGGTTATTTAAAAGATAATCACTTTTCCATTTTCATTATGTTTCTATTAAGTAAAAAAATAATATATGAATATTTCATTTCATTTCTGCGAATTTTTCTCTCAGTATTATCCTGCTACAAATGATCTAGCAGCAAAACGATTTATGTCGAGTCATTTAAGTCACAGGTGGTTAAAATTGTAGAAAGTTGGCAAACCGTAGAATATGCTTGTAATCTGTTTTTGTTTGACTATAGATATAGAATAAAATGACTGGTCGAATTCCGGCTGAAATTATGTATGGAAGAGAGTTGAGATGTCTTTTCTCATTATTGCGAGCAAACCCAGTAGGTACATGATAAAATTTATGACGAACAAATAAAATTAACAAACAATGGTAAAAACGTTTATAAGACATATGTAACGGAAAAAACAGTAATGGTTAAGGATTTATGGAAAAATAAAAAGAATTGGTGTTTAGGTAAAATTACTAAGATTTTACTGCCAGGTGTGACTAGGTACATGGTAGAAGTTGATGGACTGCATGGAAACGACATGCCAACCAACTGTTGAAATGTAGGCAAAAATTAAAATAAGACTAAAATCTATCTTAATAAATTATATGTTTTTTTTTATATTTCAACAAATTCTATAAATAAGGAAAATTATATAAGTAGGTACACAACCTTAGAGTATACAAGTGCTATATGCTTATGTATACTCTAAGTACACAACTCAAAAAGTAAAAATTATAAGTAGTAAGCCGCTATTGGAAGTGTCTTTATAACTTAAATTATAAACAGTAATTTGAAATTGATGAAAGTACATAATATTTAGTTTAGTAGTAAATATAATAAAAATAAAAAATACATTCAGATATAAGGTGGTTCTCTTTATTTATATATATATATATATATATATATATATATATATATATATATATATATATATATAAGAAAAGAGTGTTGTAATCTTGATTTGTTAATCATAAGAAATATTAAATACAGTGTAATTGTCAATTGTCTATGTTTTAGTAGGATTAAGGATATAATCTGTGGCAAGTGACTGTGTGTGGACTGTGGAATATAGACTGCAATTAATTAATTTGCACGTGTACATTTATTTAACCCAAATAAAATATAATACCGAGATATAACAGTACTTTTCTAGCCGGTGAGTCCCACATAACCACTTGTATGTCTACAGGTGGTGTGCGTAAATGCATTTCTCAACATTAAAAAAAGATGGAAGTCAGATCATCATTAGCGTGAACCCATGTCCCATTGCTCAATTTAAGCAAGATTATGAGAATTATCGTTTCAAGTTTATAACACTGATTTCCTTTGTTAAATTGTATTGAGCATTGAATACTTTATTATTTGGGCCCTGATAACGCCCACAAGATTAGTTATCATTTAAGATAATGTCCGTGGAATATGGAAAACACGACATTATAAGTAAAATATTTCTTAATATTTTCATTAAAAAGACATATCTTTTGCTTTCATGAACTGATTAAGGGCGATAGCAATTGTAAGAGCTCTTATTATCAATTATCTAAATTCTTAAACACAGTACATTATATATAACAACTGTCTCGTGCGATATTAATTCAGCAAGTTTTTTGATATCTACTGAGGACAGACGTTCCGTTGACCTTTTTTATATATTAATTAATTATTATTCAAGTGTCTACTGCATATCGAAAATGTTTTTGGAGTTACCACAATTTGCCAAATGCTGCTTCTGCATGCCCTTGAGAGGGGGTGTTTTGACGTTTGGATATTTAAAAATGGTGAGTGTTTTGCATTAATCCTAAGTTGTGTAAAAGTAATTTAATGAGCTTAGATTCTTTACTTATTCGAAACCGATTGAGGCCAATGTATTACGTTCATTTGTGCTTCCATTCATTCATCAAGAGCGCTAGTAACGTATCTACTCCCTTTTTATATCATTGATTGTTAGCTGGTTTAATTTATGAATTTTATTTATAAAGATACGCTAGTGGTGCTTAAGTTTGTTTAATGTAATATTAGCTTAAGTGGTTACGAAGAAATGATCTAATCACAGAACACTTTTACTCGGGAGAAGAATAACTACTTCATACAAATTTTAGGAAATTTTTCGTTAGCGACCAGTGACATCTATGTACCGCCTATGAAAACTAGAGAGTAGGAGCTACGGTGAGAAGTTTAAACTACAGTGCATTTTGTTGTTTCTCGATAGTTTCCTACAAGATGGCCTTTGTTCCACAATAATAGACAACTAAACAGGATCACCATCGAGAAACACAGTGTACTTGTGCATAAAATGCTAAAATTAATATAGATAAATATAGTATTTTAATAAAACAAAGATTAGATTAGTACTTTACTTTTTTATTTTCCATGATAATAATTATAATTTATGAGATTCATTTAGGCAACATATATTATTATGGACTTTACATGAATACATGAATTTGTTCACAAATCACAAGTTTTGTATGTAATGATCATCCAGAAAATAAACACAAAATTAAACAAGAGTCTGAATCTCACAAATGCACACTTAATTTCACCAAAACACAGCCACGGAGGAGCAACCCTATTTAATAACTCCAATATGATCCCATCAAAAGCGACAAAAGCCAAATATAAACCAATACATATTTATTGGTTTCTGTGTGGCTTTTGTCGCTTCTGGTGGGATTCCATTGGTGTTTTTCAACAGGGAAGCTCGACTGAAAGTTATCAACATGTAAAATTAAATGGAATTAGTTTATTTATTACAAAAACAAGTAAAAGATAAAACGGTGCGCAAGCGGCGGCGGACATCTTATGACGTCTACGTTAAAATCAATATAAATATTATAAATAACTTCGAGCAATAGCAAGTATGCTTGATAGTGCTCGAAGCAATATGACATGCGGACGTTAGTGTTGCCACACATTATATCGATATCAATTTTTTTTATAATAATATTTAAATATGTTACTTATATTTTTTAATAAAATATTTTTGTTTGACATCAGAATTATATATAAAAGGTATTTTGAAGGGCAATTTACTTTAAAAATCAAATAATAAGCTCATTCATTATAGAGAATACGATATTGATTTTTTGGTGGCAACATTATACAAATATAATATATTCCTCTCATATAATCTGATATCGTTGTTTCTTTCTTGTTTTCAAGCCTGACAGGCCCTGGACCTCTTAGTCCAATTGAATTTCTACAATGGATATTGTTTACGAGCGAAAGAACTTTTCCCGATCGAAGTTTTCCGGAACGAACATTTGACTTGACTTTTTGTGTCAGGTGAATAATATTTTTGTTTTAAACAAATACGGGCAGCTCAATCGTAATACCATTCCTACTGTTGGTAGGCGGCATAATATATATCACCAATTTAGTATGTATGGATGCTATTGCGTGTTCACTATAGTTGTGTGTGCAGGGGATAATCAATCTTCCAAAGTTACCTATATTTATTATATTCACTTTAAGTTAGTTACAATTATCCCTAGCACAATACATACTTTTATAATAATGTAAGTGACACGCGAATCGGTATGCCGTTACGAGACGACTGCTGAGTGCTGAATGGGGTTCGTGGCGCGATACAATATTGTTATATTATAACCTAAACTGTTATTTAAAATGAATAATACAGGGATTTTATACCTTTCTGGAATCTTTGTTATGAGCCCTTTAATTTGATACCCAAATTGCAGAAAAAGAAGATTAAAAAAATTTCAGCTTAAACAATGAAATCTAGTAGCCCCCATATTTATTTATTTTTTATGTTACCTATCTAAGAACACTTGGACTAATGAGATGAATCTAACAATACCTTAATTAAAGAAATCCATCAAGTGGTTTGGAAGATATGAGGAAATAAAGAATATTATAAACAAACAAACATACAAAGATAGGCGCGAAAAACATAACCCTTTCCTTGCAGTCGGGTAAAATGTATTCTTACCACGATATTACGCTTAGATATTTCGTTTAGAGGAGCTTAGACAAGATAACAATCTACAATCATTTACAAATAGAAATCAAAAAAATATACTGTAGGTAGGTACTAAAAAATAAATAAAATGGCATTTAAAAAATACATAGGTAGAAATAAAAAAATACATATTTTGTATTAATGAACTGTTTAAGCGCGAGAAATAGCGATTGTTAGAGGTCTTCTTATCTATTATCTAAACATTTAAATACTTGTTAAGTACAACTTGTTAGAACTTTTTGTTTGAGAGTTTTTTTTTCCTTGCAGATCTTCTCCATGTTCATGTTAGGGCTTTACAGTTACAGTGTGGACGGCGGTCTTAGATTTGGGATCGAGGCGAAAATAATATGCATGGCTTTACACTGTGTCGATATCTTGTTCAACATATTACTGGTGTATGGAGCTCATAAGGTAATTTTTTGGAGAGCTGAGACGATGTGTGACAGGTTTCGGCGTTTATAATGGCTCGAATAAGAAATGTAAAAAAGTATTAAGTGTATCAAGTAGTAAGTAAATATTAAATTATAGGGTTTGATATGAAAAATACAAATAGGTAAAGCTGTAAGTACTCCTGTAAGCTTTATTGTACAGCTTCGACTCAGTTAGAATTTTACTATATTTATAGACTAATGACTCACCCTCGCTTCTGGTAAAACTCGGGTTCGTCCCTAGGTTGCTTCCCCATGCAAACTTTCATCCCCATTTTCACTCCTTTAAAGGATGATTTCCGGGATAAAAACTATTCTATGTCCTTCCCAGTGTCTACAAATTTCATCTAAATCGGTTCAGTAGTTTCAGATTACCCCTTACAACCTCACAAACTCACAAACTTTTCTGTATTATAGCCTGGCTAGAGAGGTGGGCGTTGATAACTGCGACTCAGTTGTATAACTAATGCAGTTATTAACATAGAAACTGTTTATGATATTATATGCGAAAATGATGTTCTTAGTAAATAAAATAAATAAATAAAAAAAAATTCTATATAATATTAGTATAGTATAGATATGGCACGTTTACAAGTTTTTAATTATAGTCAGATTTTTAATTCTACGGAATTCTGACATTTCAGAAGTGTTGTCAACTTTGAAACATTGTCACTAAAAATGGAAAGCATTTTAATAAAATAAAAAAAATAAACCTTTCTTGAAGTTAAGGTTTCAATTAGAAAAACTAAGACTTAAGAAATAATTGACAACTCTAAAATGGTAATTATTTTTTTATTATCATATTGTTGAAGTTACAATAATTATTAAGGAAATTATTTTTCTATTACAGGAATCCCTGTCCAATAATCCATAGGTTGCAAGCCTTTTTTAATAAAACCCCTTTCTTTGTAAAATATTTGGTTTTACTCTGTTTTATTCATTTAACCATTAAAAATTTACATTATAGTTAGCGTGCATTAATTGCACAAAACAAAGACTATTTACAATGTCATACATATAGTTTACTTGATCTAATTCTGTTTCATATTTTTTGTTATTTTTTATTAAAAAATACAAAGCAGAAAAGGTTTATGATATCTGAATTGTCAAACAATGATAGCTGTCATATTTCCGTGGAATTAAAAATCAGACTTTAGTCTCTTTTCGCGTAAATCACTACAATGAGGGAGATCCCACAAATTGGCAACATTACCTGCGACCTGCGTAATTAATGATAATATACACTAAATATTTGACCAAACTTATATTTTATTTTCAGCAAAACGTATCTTATCTGAGGATTTTCTCCTACTACACATTCTCCATGACCACTGCGTTGGTACTCATGGAAATAATATCGTTAACAGACATATTATACTTCGACGCGATAGGGATGATTAATTTCTTCTTAGTAGGATTTTGTAAGTATATCTAATACTTTTTGTCTAAGACAATATATCTTAATAAGAAATAACAAACTAAATGAAAAAAAAAATACAGAAAATAATAATTACCAAAGTTTATTTATATATCTATGAAGTCGAGCCGTTCTTTTTTTTTAAATGTTTAACTCTTTCAGGCATACATCTCTACATACTGTTCTTAGTGCGAAGTCTTATGTACGAGATTAACAATTCAGGATGCGCAAACAAGAATCAATTCCACCAGTTCGTTAACGAAGAATTGGAAGTTAAAGGAAAATATCCCATCACGGTTGTGCCTGTTGCAAATGCGTAGATTTCTGCTTAAGAAGCACGTTGAACAATTTTGATGAAATTTGGCGAAAAAAATTTGATTTATGTTAGTCACATATGGGAATTTTTGTCCCTACCCCGTCGACGGACAAAAACTAGTACATATTATTTTTAAGTTACTTTATATATGCAAATTAAATCTGTATAAGAAATACATATGCAGTTATTTCCGAAGTAATTATAAAGCATTTATTATAAACCCTTTATTTTATTTCATTAATATAATCAAATATGACCCGGAAATAACCAAATTTACAACTACACTAATGCAGCACGCAACTTTTCTATGATTTCATAAATAAAATAAACTTTGAAATTCAAGTTTTAAGTACAAAGGCTAAATTTTGATCTAAGACATTAAATTAGTATCTTCAAATGCTAAATTAATTTGGGATTTGGCGAAAACAGTAGGTATTCCCTAAAAGACAAAAAATTATCATACCTAAAAAATACCTAAAAAATTATCTTACCCCAAGATTGCATTGATATGAATAACGTGCGATAAAAACGTGCGTACAAGTGAGTGTTTAATGACTTGTTGTGAGATTAATTTAGTGATTTCATTGATATCCGTTGTGGAAGAACGTTGCGTGTGCCATTTAAAAAAAGTCCAGAGTATCTATCGGAAATGTTCTGTGAGCTAACACAATTTGGCAGATGCTGTTTCTGCTTTCCCATCGAGATGGTGTTTTGGTGTTGGATACTTGAACATAGTAAGTATTGTGCGCGTACTTTAAAGTTTAGTTACTTCAGGTCAAAGTTAAACGATTTTGTTTAACTGAATGTATCACATTAGGATAATGCATCTAAGTTATGCACAGGAATATGATTTATCCATTTAAAAGATCTAGATACATTACAGAAGATTTCCCTACTTTCTTACTTTTTAGACAAATAGGGCCCAGAACGTAGAGACTTTTATTGAGAGTATGATGTTAAAAACAATTGCATTAACTACAAAATAATAATTCAACTAACAAGTTAATAGAAAGAACTCACATAATTAAGACCAAATGTCTATCGCTGACATGCAGCTGTCATAGATAGGTTGTTGTATGCAAACAAATAATCAAAACAAACAAATATGGGGTCACTTTGGGGCAAACAACATACCTAAATTAATATCAAAATTGTCAACATACATATCCTTAATGTTTCAGATGTTTTGTAATTTCCATAATGAGTCTATTATAAAGTACAAAAAAAGAACAATAAAATAAAATATGTACAATGAAAAATTCAAATCCTTATATAAAAATTGGATTTATGACTTAGAAATCTATACATATAATGAAAATGTAACTAAGCCGAATCTATAGTCTGTATATTAAATATTTTTTGGAAAATCCTATTGAAATAGACATTATTATCGATACAGAGGCCGAATCTATTTTTTATTTTAGAATTTTTGTCTTTCTGTCTTTATGTGTCTGTCTGTAACCGTATCACGGAAAAATCACTGGAGGGATTTTGATGAAATTTGGTATGATGGCAGCTGGTTGTCCGGGTCAACAACATATAGGATATTTTTTACTGCGGGAAAATATCTCTGAGAAATCTATACTAAACGTTAAAATATAAGTAGGAACGAACCCGAGCGGAGCGAGGGTGAGAAGCTAGTATGAAATAATATTTAAATATGTCTCATCTACCACTGCATCGAGGGAGAGGACCATTCATTAACAAAACTAATATTTCATCAAAATAATTTATTTTCAGCAATTTGTATCTTATCTGAGGTATTTCTACTATACGACCAAAACGTTGGTTGTAATGCAGATTGTAAGTTGATTTTATTTTATTATATTATATTTTAATATAATATACTTTTTACCCGATAAACAGCTGTTGAGTATGCGATGACCTCAATTCGGATCATAAACTGAGGAAAAGATAGAAAGATGTATGATTAAAAGCTCAATACTTCTAATAGGTTTCTGTAAACAAACATTTACTGACTATTTAATATTTGGAAAACAAAAATATAATCATCGTCTGAATAACATGTTTTCCATATTATTGGGAATTTGACGGAAACAGAAATCCCTTAGAGATAAAAACATAAACATGAGCTAGATTAAAACATCCATATGAATGAAGCGCGTTTACAGATAGTATATATATAACAACTGTCTCGTGCGATATTAATTCAATAAGTTCATTGAAATCCACTGAGGACGGACGTTCCGTTGACCTTTTCTATATATTAATTATTATTCAAGTGTCTACTGTCTATCGAAAATGTTCTGCGAGCTGCCACAATTTGCCAGATGCTGTCTCTGCATGCCCTTGAGATGGGGTGTTTTGACGTTTGGATACTTAAACATAGTAAGTGTAAAATCTAAAGTTTAGAACTTAATCAGTCAAGGTTAAATGAACATGTTAAATTTAATATTAATAAGGTTAGCGCAATTTTATTTATCTACAGGAAGCTATGATTTATCTATTTAATAATTTAAACAAGTGTTGCAAAAGTAAACTTAATTTTTATTGCTTCAATAGTGCATTGTAAGCTGGTTAAATTTTAGATTTTTATTTCTACTATTACTTAACACCTCCACCTCCAGGTAAATTTCTAAGAAATCTATTGTTAACTAACGCCGGCGTGTCCGCGGTCGTGGAGGGATTAATAAAAGTGCCCGTAATATAAATTCCAACAAAGTTCGCAAAATAAGTAAAGCTATTATACGCTAGCGGTGCTTGTGTATTGAGCCCTTTTTTAACGTCCAACTGGTGGGCACAGACCTCCCTTCAATACGAAGGGTATCTGGCCATAGTCCACCAAGCTGACCAAGTGCGTGTTGGCGGACTTCACATGTTTTTCGATAACTAGCTAGGTTTTCTCAGACATGCAGGTTTCCTCACGATGTTTTCCTTCATCGTAAGGCAAGTATGTTAAATTTAGTGGATACGAAGAAGTGTCCTCACCCTCTTAGTCCAGTTGAATTTTTACAATCGATATCGTTAATAGAAAAAAGAAATTATATTAAAACTAACGTATTCTAACCACGATATAACGCTTAAGATATTCTCTCTCAAACAACTCTCTCTTTCAAACAACTTTTTAATTTTACTTCCTATTATTATGTATTATTATAAATTTCTTTTTTATTATGACATTTATCTATAATAATAATATTATTATTTTTTATTTTTGTACTTTTAATTCATGAATGTACACTTATAATTGACATACATTTATGGTATATTATTATTACATTAATTAAATTGAAAATGTTTCATATGTATGTTGTAAGGGTGCTTTTACAAATAAATAAATAAATAAATAAAACTTTCGACAACAATTTTCATTTAATGGAGCTTAGACAATATATTATTGTTGTTACTATACGTAGGTATATTCATGCTCTCTGTCGAGAGTAGCGATTGTAAAAAGTCTTCTTGTCTATTATTTAAATCCCTGAGTACTTGTTACGACTTTTTGTTTGACAGTTCTCTTTTTTTTCAGATCTTCTCCATGTTTGGGTTAGGGGTGTACAGTTATTCGGTGCACAGCGAATATGGAGTGGTGCTGGTGTACCGCGGCGTGGCGACTCCGGCTGAGGCGGAGATATGCATTGCTCTTTACTGTGTTGATATCTTGTTCAATGTATCACTGGTGTATGGAGCTCATAAGGTAATCTTTTGGGGATCCTAACTAACTCTAAGAAACAAATTATAATGTGCGTTTGTGTGTCCCTCTGCCAAAGTTTATTTTTACAAAATCGATATGTGTCGTGTAGTGTAGTACAAAAAATCGAATATATTAATTAAAAGAGCTCGATATGGGAAATACAAATAAAGCTGCAACTAGGTACCCGCCAATATATGGAACTTATGTGGCTCAAGATTTCAGATGTTTAGTGATTTTCTTAGTGAATTAATTTGAAAAAAAATTGTTGCGATTGTACAACCTACGAATATAAAGTAATAATAGATATGGCACCAGTCTAGTTTTCGCGTAAACCACGACGATGAGGCAGACCCCACAAATTGGCAACATTACCTGCGACATGCATAATTAATGATAATATACACCAAATGTTTGACCTTTATAATTTATTTTCAGCAAATTGTATCACATCTGAGGATTTTCTACTATTACACACTCACCATGACCTTTGCGGTGGTAATCATGGAAATAGTATCTTTAACAGACATGAGATACTACTTCGAGATAGAGCTGATTACTTTCTTCTTAGTAGGATTATGTAAGTACTTATTTTTGTCTAAGACAGTATAATTTATGTTAATTAGAAATAAAAAACCGAATGAAAAAATAAAATAAATAAAATATTTAGCAAAGTTTCTTTATACATGTAATTTATGAAGTTAGCCGTCACTTGAATAATCAATTTGCGAAGTACGAATTATTATAATCCATACTTAATATTATAAACTTGCAAGTGTGTTTGTTTGTTTATTTGTTTGTTTGTCTTTCTTTCACGTCGAAACGGCTTTGCGATTTGGCGTGATTTTTTGTATATACAACATAGGCTTCTTTTTACTGCGGGAAATTCTCTCTTTCCCACGGGAAAACACGTTATAATATAACTCAAAAAAATATTTATTATCAGAATTACTTGGAACTTGGTATTAATGCTCTTCAATACAATTTATTAAATACGTGTTTTAGCATTTTTCGAAATTCATCCCATATGGCGATAAATTGCGGATGAAAGTTTGTATGAAACCTACCATTTTAGAGGTTTTTTTTTTGTAGTTTTAGCGCGCGAGCGAAGCTGCGGATTTTGCTAGTAGAATTATATTTGTAAGTTTGTTAAGTATTTTCTTTTTTTGATAATATTTAACTCTTTCAGGCATTCATCTCTACCTACTGTTCTTAGTGCGAAGTCTTCTGCAGAAGATGGACAATTCAGGATGCGCCTACGAGAATCAACTCCACCAGTTCGTCAACGGAGAATTGAAAGTTGAAGGGAGTGGAATATATCCCAGCACGGTTGTGCCTATTGAAAATGCGTAGAATTCAGTTTAAGATTTAACGTCACGTTGACCATTTTTTGGTGTTTGGCGAAAACAAATTACGTATAGGTCTAAGCGACGGAAAAAAACTTGTACCTACATATTATTTTTAAGCAACTTTATATTGATAGAAGGAAGGGTGTATATACATCATGTTACTTATTTTTGTAAAATAATAATTTATTTTACTGTAGAGAGATATATTTTTGGTTTATTATAAATAAGTAAAATGTAATTTTTAATGCCAAAGTTATTGTAGTCAATGTTAAGATGGACGAGTCTCACACGAATCTCTCTCAACGTGAAGGTCAAAATATATTGCAAGAGACGCCGCACTGCACACTTTTTATAGGCAGATAGTTTAGTCAGGTTCACGATCATTACTAAGATGCAGAATCATTACCGTCCGGTAATGTACGCCTTTATTACCGCCCGGTAATATCATACATCTCTAGTGTTGCGGATTTAATTTAGGAGAACAATTTATGTGTAACAATGATTTTTTGATATTTTTATTTAACGGTTTATTAATTTCAAGTTGACCCTAGAGTAAGTCCAGTCTAGGATTTGTTATATTTAATCGATATTTATTATCTACTATTTAATGGCTGTGTTTTATTTTTATGTAGCATAACGATTGAATTAATAAAAGTAATAAATATAATATAGGACTATAACTAATTATATTTTTTTAGTATAATGTGAAGACGTTATATATACATACATGTATATGGGCTTTATATCCATATATTTATATGTAAGATTACCAGGAAAAATTAAATAAATGAAATCAAAGCTCACATAATATGTATCTATAAATCATATCACACACATCGCCTTAAAAACTTTCTATCCCGAGAGGTTTATAAATCCAATAATACTGTCTTAGATTTACGCGAATATTTGAAATTTCAATAAAACTTAAACTTTAAATAAAACTTTTAAATATCTTTTGGGATTTTTTCGCGGATTTATTTTGATTTTTGGTTTCCGACGCTTCAAATGCTTTACAGCAATCATAGTCACGGGAGAGATTAAGGTTTTAGATGTCTCAAAGGCATAATATAGTTGTTACATATAACTTACACACACAAATGAATAAAAAAAAATAAAAAAAATATTCTTAATTAATTATGAAATTAAAAGAAATGCACAACAAGTAACGAAGAATAATTTTTTTATAAAAAGATAAAAACGTTGGGCGTTACATATTTTTAACCAAGTTTCGCTACGTCCCACGATTTTGTTTTGGAGTCTGATCAAAGCCCTAGATTGATGAGGAGAGTGGTGTAATAACTGGTACCTGGGACCTACCTTTTTTAGTTTTAGTTCTTTATTTACATCATTATTGTCTTTCTTTTTAATAAAGCCGTTTAACTAAAAAAAATGTTTTACTTATTTTATTTTATAAATGTGTAAAAACAAATATGAATTACCTGACAACTTGCACGCTACTTATGTATCATTTGTAGAAATAGTCTAAAAAATAAGCTATGAAAGGCATGTTTTAAGCTTAATGTTTGACCTAAGACGTTAAATAATTTTCTACTTATCCCTGAATTAATTAGGAATTTTCGCGAAACCAATATTCCCTAAAAGGCATAAAAAACTGATATTATCAAGATCAAAGCATTGATATGAATGAAGCGTGCGTACAAGCTAATATGTAACAACTACGTCTTGTGAGATTAATTTAGTGACTTTATTTATATCCAGTATGGTTAGACGTTCCGTTGAACTCTTAAAAAATCCAGAGTATTTACGTGGCAGATATGTTCTGTGAGCTACCACAATTTGGCAGATGCTGCTTTTGCTTGCCCTTGAGAAGGGGTGTTTTGGCGTTTGGATACTTAAACATAGTAAGTGTTGTGTGCGTATTTTAAAGTTTAGTTACTTTAAGTCAAGCTTAAACGAATATGTTAAACTGACTGTATCACATAAGCTGCAACCCAACAGAAAAGTTTACTTTCTGTAATCAATATCGTTAATACAAAATTTTAAAAAGAATAACATATGTCATATGAGCTGAAATATTTCAGTTTTCATACTAATTTATTATTAGGGTTTTTAGTTGTTTGACAGTTGTTTCTTTTTTAGGTTTTCTCCATATTTATCCTAGTGGTTTGTAGTTTATTAGTGCATAACAACGTCAGAGTTGTGCTGGTATACCGTGGAGTAACGACGATTCAGGCAGAGCTATGCTTAACGATATACTGTGTGGATACTTTGTTCAACGTATTATTAGTATACGGAGCTCATAAGGTAATCACTATTTTTATTTTTCCCCCTAATAATACTACGTCTTAGTACATATAACAATGGCAACCAAAATTGGTCGTGTAAATAAATCGAATAAAATATCAAACTACTTTGGAAGCAAATGACAATTTAAAATGAAAATGAATACAAAAAAATGAACAGTAATTGTAATCCTTTTAAAAATTGGGTATATAAGGCAGCGGTAGAAGTTGCTTAGGAAAGCGAGTAAAGCACCCGCCTTTTGTTATACCTAGGATTTGAACCCTCAAATCCGATATTTTCTTGTGCAAATCCACCACTTATTTTACGGTGAAGAAAATAATCGTGAGTAAACCTGTATGTGTGAGAAAAGCTAGCAAGTTTTCGAAACACATGTGAAGTTCGCCTCGCTCTTGTCCAGCGTGGTGGACTATGGCCTGATACCCCTCGTATTGAACGTAGGCCCGTGCCCAGCAGTGGGGCATTAAAAAAAGGCTAAATACATACATTGATATATGACTTAATATTAATTTATATATGAAATAATATTAAAATATACGTCATCCGCCGTAGCGCAGAGGGAGAGTACAATTCGTTAACCAAATAAATGCTTGAGCAATAACTTATTTTCAGCAAATTGTATCTTATCTGAGGTATTTCTACTATTATACTCTCTCTACGACCATAGCGTTGGTTGTAATAGAAATTCTAACTATGATTGACCATTACTATAACTTGAGCGTCTATTACCAGATAGCGACGCTTACTTTCTTCTTTACAGGATTATGTAAGTATTAACTTTTGTCAAGGCAATTTAAAATAATGAAAAAACAAACACGCACACGCACACACACACACACGCACGCACACAATATGAATAGAAAGTTAAATGCAAAATGTATATACATATGTATGCAAACATACTGCATTAGAACCCATGATATATATTATGTAGTAAATGGTTATATATGATCTCTTTTTTCAGTTTTTACAATATTTTACCTTTCCAGGCATCCATCTCTACCTGCAGTTCTTAGTGCGAAGTCTTATGTACAGGATAGATAATTCAGGATGCGCACACGAGAATCAACTCCACCAGTTCGTCAACGGAGAATTGAAAGTTGAAGGAAAATGTCCCAGCACGGTTGTGCCTATTGAAAATGCGTAGGTTTAGGTTTGAGATATTGAAAGTATATTAACATGTATATTAATTGAAAAATTGTCTGTCTGTATCAATTCCAATTTATAGGAATCTACATTTATTTTGAACTAAAAATTTCATATAATTGATGCTATGAGTTGGATTAATAAGTAAACTGAAATCAAACCCACCATTACGTTTAAGTCATTATTGTTTTTAAATTAAGAATTTATGAAAGTGAAACTTCTATGGTATTAAGAAAAAAAATATTTACAATATATTTTTACTCATTATGTTTAATGTGTCTAATGCTAAAAATATAACAATTAATCTTAGGATGGACGCCGACATTTTCCGCAGAAAAAGTGAATTAAATTGTAAATGGCCTCGCACACTGTAGAGTTTCTATCGGTAGTTTAGTCTGGTTCATAAATTAACGGCCAGTAATGTCGAGCAACTTCAGTTCGCAGAAAAAGGAATGCTTACTCTACGTGTTCAACTCATATAATCTGTATTTAGCCCTATGTCCCACTGCTGGGGGTGGGCCTCCCTTCAATACGAGGGGATCAGGCCACAGTCCACCACGCTGGCCAAAATAGAATCATATTTTTTATAATTGTGTTAGACCTTAGAATAGTTCCGGTCGTAGTTATTATTTAACCGGTGTTTATTGATAGCTAAGGAAAAGGGTGTTTTTTATTTGTATGTAGCATAGTAATATATGTACCTATTAAAAATATGACTTTCGCCTCTGGGGAAACAAAACCAAACCTATTCCACGGGAAGCGTACATTTTTCTGGGATAAAAGTAGCCTATGTGTTATTCCAGGCTGTAATCTATCTCTGTGACCTTTCATCTAGATCCGTTCAGCTGTTCTGGCGTGACGTGAAGTGATAGATATAGATAGTTTTTAAATAACAAATTTTAAACGTGATTCTTTAAATTGACATAACTTTTTATTTATGAATCGATTGACATGAAACAAATACTAAATGTTAAGTGAAGCTTACCACAATATATTAGTGAAAACCACATCTAAACCGGATAAGCCGTTTCTGAGATTAGCGTGCACAAACGCACAGACAAACAGAGAAACAGACAAAAATTCTAACAATCATTGTTTTGGGTGCTAGTTGCGTTGATAAAGATTCCAATAATATATTTTTTTCATATATCTTCCATGTACAGACAGCGATCCGTTACGTTTTTATTATAAGAATAGAAGATTCTAAATAAATATGAAAAAGTGATAGTAAGATGAAGACACAAGGACTTGCATTACGAGCTTTATTTTGTATTTTTAGATATAAATTTACCAGAAAAAAAATAAACAAATATATATACCATATATGTATTTATTGTAGCCCAACTTTACTGATCCCGCAAAATGTATGTATGAAATTGGAATCCTATGAGAAAGTTATAGTGGTATACATGATATGTATGATAGAAGAGGTAAATGAAATGTCTGAGATAATATTATAAGTATATTTACTAGCGGCTCACCATCGCTTCACTCCTCTTTGCCTCTAGAAAAACAGCAACAAATCTATTCTAAGCGAACCGTATATTTGTCCGGGATAAAAAGCCAAGGTGCTTTTCCAGACTATAAATCTATCTTTGTACCAAATTTTATCCAGATTTGTTCTGACGTGATTGAGTAACAAACATCCAAACATCTAAACTTTCACATTTATAATATTAGTAAGATTATACAAGTAATGTCCGATTTCACCAACAACCCATAAGCTACCACCTACGTATGTGATCCCTAGCTTAAAAGTCCGCTAAGCTAGCCCCTAAATTAAATTTCGTTTTACGATCGTCTTTAAGCCCATATTTCGGGCACCTAAATTTAGGGGGCCTTTTAATATTTAGGTGACCCCTAACTCTCGGTGAAACAGAAACTGTTCCCTAACACCCCCCTAACCATGCTTAGGGGATCCCTTAAACTTAGGTAACGTTGGTGAAATCGGGCATAAGTCTTCTTTACACACACAAAAATGTGATAAAAATGTGATAAAAATAAAAATAATGATATTTTAAATAAACAAGACAGCTATTCAGTATTCAGATATTTTCGAAGTCGGTACCAGCCAAGAATATTTTAAGATATTAATATCTAATAGGTAAATATGATTTGGTGTGAACTCTATTGTAGTTAAAATATATATACATCAATTTGTAATGGATTTTACGTTAAACGAACGAAATATATTAGATTTGTTTTGCATCGGCTGGCACCGACTTCGAAAATATCTGAATAGATATCTATTCTAAATGAAAAGCCCCGTTTAGTTATTTTTTACATTTTAGTGCCCGGAAGTCGGTTTAATCTTTTTTTTAAGTTTTTATTGAGTCATTTTAACCAAATTTAGGTGATCGGCAAGATGTTAAAAATGATTCGCGCCCGGATCGACTTTATACATCATTGTCACGTCACAGAATACAATATAAAAAAGTAAGCGGGATCATTGGTTAAGTATTCATGAACTCCTATAAAAAAGACTTTAGTTTTGGAAGGACAAGTCATGATTTTTCCACCAAGACTATGCCTCAGCGCATTCTGCATTGTCTATTGAGAGGTGTCTAGCCATGTACAACATCTCTATGGAAGATGATCCGACTTATTCGACGTATCATATATGTCTTATATAAAATCTATAAAAGGAACAAGATTTGAGTCCGTTAAAGCTGTTAAGGAGAAAGCGGCACACGACCTGAAAGAGCTGACAGAAAAAGACTTCCAGATTGAAACAGATTGAGACTGACCATGGAAGTTTCACGTGCAGGTGATAATAAGTAAATATAGGTAGATGTATATCATCAAAATGAAATATTTTACAGGGTCAGTCTCGTTATTTAACCACATCTCGTGTATAACAACTGTGCACAATAAGATTAATTTAGTAATTTTATTGATGTCCACAGTGAATGGACGCTCCATTGACCTTTTCTAAATATTATTTTTCAAGTGTCTTTTAAAAATGGTTTGCCAGTTACCGTATTTTGGCAAATGCTGCTTTTGCATGCCCTTAAGAAAGGGCGTTTTGGCATTTGGATACTTAAACATAGTAAGTGTTGTGCGTTTAACTTAAAGTTTAGTTATAAACGAATCAAGGTTAAACGAATATCTAAAGCTTCATCTAATTTCGGTTAATTTATTAACCGACTTCCAAAAAGGAGGTGGTTCTCATTTCGTCGAAATCTTTGTTAATTTTTTTAAGTATGTTCACCGATTACTCGAAGACGCCTGAACCGATTTGGATTTTTTTTTTCAAAGGGTTTACTTACCCGGCGCGGTCCCATATACATCTTATCGAAATCGGTTTTAAAAAAAAAACAACAATGAATTATTTTTTTAAATAAATTGTTTAATCGAATATGTTATTAAAAAACTTTCTTCTTACAAATTACCTGCTAGCCGACAATATTTTAAGATATGAATATCTAATAGGTAAATATGTATTTTAATTTTTACGTATCGAAATATATTAGATTTGTTTTGCATCTACTGGCACCGACTTCGAAAATTACTGATTAGGTATCTATTCTAAATGAAAACCCCCGTTTAGTTATTTTTTACATTTTAGTGCCAGGAAGTCGGTTTTTAATATTTTTTTAAGTTTTTATCTTACTCGTACCTATACGAAAGCTATGACTTATGCTTTCATATTCTTAAAATAAGTAGGCATAAAGGCTGGTAAATTAAAATAAAAGGGAATTACATGTGCATTAGACACATTTGATAAATGTACTCGTATGTATGTGGATGTCCCGAGTTTCTTAATTTTTTGGGAAGGTAGAATTCTGACATAGGGAATATGTTTTGAACTTTGTTTGTTTCAGACTTTGTCATTAATACAATTTTAGAATGAAAAAGTGTTTTCTATCAACGATTGCAAGAAATGGTCTTATCTATTGTCTCGTCCCCAATTGAAACCGTGTGAAAACTCCATGTTTTTCCTCAGATCTTCTCTATGTACATATTAGGGATATGCAGCTATGCGATACACTATGACTTCGATATTGTACTGCTGTACCGCGACGCGCCGACCAGAGCTGAGGCTGACATGTGTATTGCCATAAATTGTGTTGACATTTTGTTCAACTTACTGCTGGTTTATGGAGCTCATAAGGTAAATGTTAGGATTCTGTATCTCGAATTCAGAGTTGAAACTCTCACAGCTAATGTTCTCCAAATCTACTGGAACAACAAAAAAAAAATACAATAAATGTAGCTTAAAGTGTATCATGTTTGAGCCATGGCCATTTCTCAAAACGAGTAGAAGCAGATTTAATTTAGGAAAATGTCACCCATTCGCCCGAATGTCGCGACTTTAATGCAATACCAACAGCAGAAATGGGTTTCGACTCATTAAATACATTTAAAAAGAAATGGTACGTTTTATTTTCTTGATGTAAATATTTCTCATAACAAATTATTTTATTTCATTTTTTTTATTTGGTTTTGTTCGTTAGTTTAGTCAGAATTAGTTACACCTATAAACTTAAAGTATTGCATAATAGCAACACTGTTTTAGTGCATGTTGTGTTCTCCAGTAATCGGGGGTACATTTCAAACACTGCCCATAGAGCTTGTATTTTTTTGTATTTTTATATGTACTTTTGTTGGAAATCCATAATTTCTATAGGGAATTGATTAATTTACTAAATTTTATATAATAAAATACTTCAAATCTTTGTAGGCATTAAATACTTTGGAGATAAATATGTATATTGAAAGGTATTTATTACATTGCACTGAGGAAGAGTATTTATAATTCTTTTTAACGATAAGATATACGAAATGTTTAACCTAATTTATATATTATTAATTATTTTCAGCAAAACGTAATTTGTCTTAAGATTTTCTACTACTACATTATTTCTACGACTGTAGCGTTAGTTATAGTGGAGCTTGTAACTGTGATAGCCTTGGAATCTACCTACGAATTAGAACTAACTATTTTCTTTTTAATAGAACAATGTAAGTACTAGTTTTTTCCTGCGGCTTCGTTTGCATTACGTGATAAATAAATAAATATATTGGGACTAATGTCATAATGAATATGTGTGTTAATACACACAGCACTATCTAGTTCCATGGTAAGCTACGCGGCTTGTGTTATGGGTACCAGATAGTTGATACGCTACACATATATAAATACATACATATTATAAATATAAACACCCATGAATGGAGTACAAAAATTAGTACTCATCACACAAATGAATGTTTCCAGCGGGACCCACGACCAGCGAACCCACGACCGTTTGCACAGCAAGTAGGGTCACTACAAACTGAGCCAAATATGTCGTCGAATATGATAGATACAACAATTAAATATAGCATCCATCTTAATTTCAATTTTTTACAATCACATCCGTTAATCAGTTACGAACGTGAAGAAGAAATAAACACACTCATTTCCTTCATTATTTTCAACCTTCCTTATCATTAGGCGTAATTATATCAATTTTAATTTTACCATTACCTACTACCGGATGTTATAGAAAAAGTTCTGTTACAAGTCTAAAGTTCAATTCGTGCACGTGGAACTAGAAACTACTGCTAACAAATTGAATATGAAGGATTTTAATGTTTGGTTTAGTAAGTCAAAATCATGAAATACTAAACAGGATTTCAAATAGCATTCAACAAAAGCAAACGAACCAATTTTTCACTATCTCTTATATCTCTAAGTTTAGTCGAAAGAAAGATGTCTATACTTGTTATATGCAATAGTTTATCAAATGTACTAAATATATATGAAATTGACTATTTATTCAGTTACTGTACGATTAAATTATAATTATTTGTCCATCCGGATAAAATATTATCTATTTTTAACTTTTAATTTTCGATTATGTGACAGACCCGTCTTGGATGATGAGGTTGAGAAGACCTTCTCGTTAGGTCTTTTTTTTATTGCAAACCCAGAAACCCGCCCCCATATCATAATTACTTATGTTATTTAAGATTTGGTGACATATTTTTTTTAAAATAATCAATAGCTGGACTAATAAAAATAATATTAGTCATACAGTTAATAGTAATAGATGGTTACTGTATCAATAGGGTCATCCAAAATATTTAATTGCTAGTGTATTTAATAAAATAGAACTATTTCAAATTTCTATTTCAGGCATCAATATTTATCTACTACTCTTAGTGCGGAGTCTTTTGCACAAGATGGATAAGTTAGGACGCGCCTACGAAAACCAGCTTCAACAGATGATCGACGGAGAGTTGAAGGATGAAGGGAGTGAAACAAATCCCAGCACGGTTTTACCTATTGAAAGTGCCTAGGCTAGATTTGAGGATAAGATTTTTTTAAATTCTAATAATCAAAAAGTATAAACATTTTGTTGTAAATTTTCCCCGTATCTGTTTATCTACATCGTACCCTAAATATTAAAGGAATTAATAAATATTTATTTTAAACCAAGGTTCCTACGATAGCAACACTGCCAGGCTGTAAAATTAACATTCATTTTAACAAAGCTAGAATCAAATCCACGATTCACTAACCTCAGTAGGTACCTACTGCTTTAGTTTTGTAAATATCTTTACTTAGGCAGTTATAATAAAAAAATTCAAATTATCATTTTTGTATTTTTTTGGATTCATTTTGTAATTGTGTGGGTAGGTACTGTAACAACTAAGTTTATCACGACCTTAGAGACTCCCCCGTGACCATGATTGTTGTAAAACATTTGAAACGTCGGGAACAAAAATCAAAATAAATTCGAAAATATAGTTTTATTTAAAACCAGCGACTCACCCTTGCTTCGCTTGGGTTCGCCTCTAGGTGGTTCTACCGTTTAAATGACATATTTTTTTAACTTATAAACCGATTAAAGTAAAAAAAAACTATAAATGTTAAGTTAAGTTTATCACATTACAATTAATGAATACCGCAACCACATCGGTTAAGACGTTTCTGAGATTAGCGCGCACAAACGCACATACAAACAGACAAAAATTCTAAAAATCATTGTTTGGGGTTCCATTGCGTTTATAAAGACCCCCAATAATAGTTTTTCTTAAATATCTTCCATGTACAGACAACGATCGGTTACACTTTTATTATATGTATGTATGTATAGATGACAAATATTCGCGAAAGAAAGTATAATGGAATTGAATAATTATTTTTATATTAGCAATTAGTTTAAAACCAGTTTTTGTTATTGTTATATTTAAGTATTATTTTGTTAAATAAGTGAATGTTTTTTGCATAATTATATTATTTAAATAAAAATTAATAAGTTACTATCAAATGTTCTAGAATAAAGACGTTTATCAAAAAAAATAATAAACTTTATAAATCACTATTTCTGTATTTATTTGATATCACAGTTTTCCTTTATATTTTATATAAAAGTAAAGTGGTATTTTTATATATTAAGTATATATTTTTGTATAAAAGTTTAAAAAAATATTTAATTTCAATTTTTGTATTAAGCTGATTAGAATTATGCATAATATATCATACATACCTTATAATATATAACTTAATATATATATATATGAACTTAAATATTAAATAGAAATTGACATTATCACGTTAAGTGGGAATGTTCTATTACAATAAACGCACGAGTTAATTACGTCGAGTTGTATCTATAGGATAAATTTAGATTAGTATTGAAAAATGCCGAACAAATTCGTAAGAGGTGCTGTGATATTAAAAAAAAACATAAAAAAGGGATATACATATAACTCATTATATTATGCTTCTTAAAGTCATGAATTAAAATTGACATAGAACTCAAACTACCTATGAGTAGGTACATCCTTATTAATCGGTCCACTGATGTTTTCCTAGCCAATTCCGACTACGGCGGCCAATCTCATTGAGACTAGCCAACTGCGCAGGAGATATTATAGTGCACAAGTCTACGCGCAGACACAACGTGTACTCTCTATTCCTCTCACTCTCATACACCGGTGGGACGACTGCTCGACACGATCAGTGAGATTTAAGGCGCAGGACCGACGGCTTTACGTGCTCTCCGAGGCACGGGGGTGAAACACCGCCAACTTCCCATCTCCGGGCTACTACTGAGACTTTCTATACAGAAAGACTCAATAACTAAACTTGGCCCAACCCGGGACTCGAACCCAGGACCCCCGAGTGTGCAGCCGTACATGCTAACCACTACACCACCGAGGTAGTTACTATTATAAATGTGAAAGCTTGTTTATTTGTATGTTTGTTACTATTATATGAAATTGTATTAGAATAGTATTCATATTCAGGCCCTTCTTAACGTCCCACTGCTAGGCACGGGCCTTTCTTAAGTACAATAGAGACCACTTGTCTTACAGAGACTAAAAATATCGTAAAATCTGCATGTCTGTGAGAACCTAGTAAGTTACGAAAGACATGTGAAGTCCGCTAACCCGCACTTGATCGGCGAGGTGGACTATGGTTCCTCTATTATTAGAATAGTACAATGATAGGTTATCACCATCTTTTTTGGTTTTCGTTAGTGGAAACCACCATAGATAGCCCCTGCCGGTCAGCACAGGGGACTATGAAACTCTTACCCAAGAAAATTCACAACGGAACTCGGTTGCAGGATCGCTTGAAGATAGATTAGACTAACACACAGGCTACTAATAGGCACCTAGGCACTAACTAGTAGGTAGTAGACATGTCGCTAGTAGGTATTATAAAAGTAAAAGTCGCGAGTGGGATGCTAGCCTTATTATAATTAAATGCTATTTAATTGTTTACATGAAAAGAAGAAGGTCATCAGTAACTGGCCTAATGACAGTGTAAGCGAATAAATAAACTGAATTGTTCGCTAATGGAGTGAATAAGCCACTTCCTCTGTACATAATATTGTCCAAAATATACAATGCGAGCTATACGTTACAACGACAGGTGTTGCTTACTATACCTCACTGCTACACAGGATCATGTTTTTTAAGTGAATTTATGTATTTATGTTTTTTAAGCTTTTATTTATCCCTTTTTAGTGTAGACATAGCAGTAGCAAAGTAAGAAGAAAGTATTTTAATAAAATATTCGCTTAACCCGTTTAAGTTAGTTTGATGCCAATATTTATATGAAGGCTGACAAACCAAAATTCGCTTTTATTAGTAACACTACAAATTCTGGTTTTAAAATCCGATTCTAACGTACTGGGCTTGTCAAATTAAATAAAATAAGCCCAAACTCAAAGTATCTACTATTAGCCGTTGAAGAGTTGCACCTATTCACCATCTGGCCTTATCATCAGATCAGGTCAACGATACCGAACCACTGCACTATCAACGGAAATAGAAACACTTGCAAAGTTTCAAGTCAATATGACAATTAAAAGTAGGTTAAATTCATCATTAGCTATTTTTCCACCCTTATGGGTGGTATTTTTTTTTAATTTAAATGGGACCGATCTGGAAGTATACACTTTCAAACAAAATAAAAATTAAACGAAACATAAAAAAAAATACAGCCGAATTGAGAACCTCATTCTTTTTAAAGAAGTCAGTTGAAAAATATATTATGAATTGTTATTGTCAAAGGTATGATATTATAAACCTAGCTAAAATTCATTTCGGTTCAAAGTAGACATCTGTTGACTAGATTTTGGATGCAGCTGATCCTCGTTCTGTACGCTCTATACAGATTATTGCTTGCCAGAGCTTTTACAAACTGCTTCAGTAGTTCTTATTTTATGTGCAAGGTTAGAAGAATAATTTTTTGAGCAATAACAATTATAATAATCTATTAAATAACATAATATTTTCTATGTTATTGGGAGTTTGGCGGAAATAGAAATCCCTTAGAGATAAAAACGTAAACATCGTCAAGATCAAAACATCGACATTAAAGCGCGTACAACAAGCCAATATAATATAGCAAGTGTGTCGAGTGTACCTTCTAATGCAGTTATATTACAGATGTCCAGAGTGGACGGACCTTTGCCAGCTTTTTTCTGCTGTATTTTTCAAGTGTCTATCGAAGATGTTTTGCGAAATACCACAATTTGCAAGATGCTGCTTCTGCATGCCCTTGAGAAGGGGAGTCTTGGCGTTTGGATACTTAAACATAGTGAGTAGGTTTAGTGAACTTTTGCTTAGCTTTAACTTATTAAAGTTAAAAGTAATAATAAATAAAAAGTAACGTAAGGATTTTTTATTATTAATAAGACTTTTTGATAGCACCTTTATGAGTAATTTTTAGTATTGTAAGTCCGTGGAGAAATTTGATAGTTTCCCCACGGACTTACAATAGCAAATATAACAGAGTTGCACATTCGTGCAGTGATTTGCTCGACTTGCAACTCTGTTGAGCCTTTTTTTAAACTCGACAGGTGCTTATCTTTTAAAAATAAAATTTCACTTTTTCATTAGAATATAAACGTTTTGTATCCTAATACAGTGTAATGTTATCGGAAATATTAAGTAGATTTACATCATAAAGTTTAGTATAGATTTCTCAGAGATGAGATATTTTCCTGTAGTAAAAAGTATCTTTTATGTTGACCTGGATGACCTGGTATCATCATATCAAATTTCATTCAAATCTGTCCAGTGGTTTTCTCGTGATGCGTTCTCAGACAGACAAAAATTCTCAAAACTATAGATTCGGCCTTTGTATCGGTAATAATGACTATTTCAATAAGATTTTCCAAAAATATATTTAATGTACAGATTCGACTCAGAATTTTATTATATGTATAGATATATAAGATAAGTATATTTATTATATAAGTAATGATTATTATCATTATTTCTATGTTTATCTCTCATGAGTTAAGGTTAAATGGAATAATCTTGAGCTTTAAATACATTAAATGCACACTTTGAAGTACAGGAAATTATGATTTATCCATTTAAAAGATGTGTATAAGAATGGTGTAATTTGATTTTATTGCTATTTATAACGTAGATAATGTAGTTCTATCAAAGCATATTATTGTGTTTAATTTATTATATGTATTTAGAAAAAATCTTTTTTCTCTCTGTTCCGTTTTAATTTTACCCGGAAATAGTCGAATGGCGTTTTGTTTAATAAAACCCCTCAGTTTCTTTTTAAAATCTTCTTTTACACTGACCAATCCATCTTTTACACTGACCAATGTTGTTTTATGCATTTTCTATGCATATTCTACGGACCAGAGAGTAATTAGTATACTTTTTATTATTTTATTAGGATATAGGATTACTTGACTTGGCTACTTACTATGAAAAATATAAGCGACTTTATACTCTCTTTGCTTAGTTGCGTTACTTGGTACCAAACAGAAAATTGCGTGTTGCTCCAGGTCTTAGTTTATCACCCCCACCCCAACGTGCGTTTACCTTTATCCGTGTGTTCTCGGAATGTGGGGGAGGAGGGGGGTCTCATTAGCCTCCGGCAATTCAGCCACCGGGCGCGAAGCCAAGAAACGCACTGGGAGGTGGCCCACTTCGGTGGGCGGTGTACCATGCGGGATGCTCCTGGTACTTCTCTGATAAAAGGGTGAACTATGGTAACCACCCCTTGGTTGTATGATCTGCTTTTACAGACCTACCGTCAGGGCGTCGTGGTTGAGTGCTGTATATACTATTACTCGTATATTTGCGATTTTGCTCCTCGACCGTACCTTAGATCGTAGACTAACTATATACTCGTATTTAATTTAAATCGGTCAAGTAACACTACGCTAGTACTTGAACGTCTTAAATTGAATCATGATTGATACGTTGTACACAAAATAACGGCGCGTACGACGACACGAATGAACGGGTTACGTTACAGAATGTTAGAGACCTGTGACACGTCTCTGCGTTAGGTTTTGCAATAGTAGTCTATTATCTCATGTTAATAATTTGTCTTATAATAATTATAAATATGATCAAAAAAGTACTAGATACACAATCAGCAACAATAAATGTCCTCACCGAATGAGCGCTCATTTGAACATTTTTTTTTTGGGAAAACAACTTTATCCTTAAATGCAGTGCTTTTAAGGTTCAATTTGCATTGTTATATTGTATTATGTAGCGTGTGTTGGTGGTAACGCGCTCGCTTGGGAAACCGACTAAAGCGAGTTCAAATCCTGGGTCTCGCACCTCTGATATTTTCATTTGCGAATCATTTCCAACATGATTACCATTTGTCTTAAAGGTGAAGGAAAACATCGTGAGGAAACCTGCATGTCTGAGAAGACCTAGCAAGTTTTCAAAAAGACATGTGAAGTCAGCCAACCCGCACTTGGCCAGCGTGGTGGACTATGGCCTGATTCCTCTCGTACTGAAGGGAGGCCGTGCCCAGCAGGGGGATGTTAAAAATATGATATATATATATATATATATATATATATATATATATATATATATATATATAATCTGAATCTCAGAAACGGCTCTAACGATTTTCTTGAAATTTAGTATACGGGGGATTTTAGTCACAGTAATACATGTTTTGACTAAACTAAGATTAGCTGTCGGCATGTTAGATATTATAGTGCACAAGTATAATCGCACACTCTATTACTTTTACTCTAAAAGTAAAAGAAACTCTTCGAAACACTGGGGAGACTAAAACAGCCAACTTCCAAACTCCGGACTGTTACTCAGAATTTATTGACATAAATGTCAATAACAATATATGACCTGACACGAAACCTTGAACTCCGGATCTACACCCACAGCTACTAGATGATTCATGAATTATTTAAAACATAAATAATATTAATATTTGATAAATATTTGTATCTTTCAGATGTTCTCTGTACTAATGATAGGGCTATACAGTTACGCGGTGCATCTCGACGCGGGTGTCGTGCTGGTGTACCACGGCGTGTCTGCCAACGTCGAAGCAAAGCTGGGCATCGCCTTATACTGTGTCGATATTATATTTAACATTGTAATGGTGTATGGAGCCCATAAGGTAAACACGAGTCATTTTTTTCTCTTCCTTCCCTCCCATTTCAACTTATTTTGCTAAAATTATAAAGAAACTATTATTGACATCCGTACATGCGCGGATGGTATATAAAAAAGCCCTAAAATTGTCATACATAGGTATGTCATGGAAAAACCTTAATCTTCTAAATGTAGAAAAGTATTTTTATTCGAACTTCGAACTTAATATAAAAAGTACACCTTTAACTAATAAAATAATATATAGAGTTTCTTAAATCATTACTTTTCAGATAATCGTATCGTATCTGAAAATCTTCTACTATTACACGATCTCTACCACAGTTGCTTTGGTTATACTGGAGCTGGTGTCTCTGATTAATTATGGCTACTTGGACGACTTCGAGCTCATGAGTTTGTTCTTTACAGGATTATGTAAGTATTACTATATTATATTTATTTTTACGCTCTTATTTTATAACTAGCGACTCACTCTCGCTTCGCTCGGGTTGATTCCTCATACAAACTTTCATCCCCATTTTCACCTTCTTAAGGGATGATTTCCGGGATAAAAAGTATCCTGTGTTCTTCCCAAGGTCTCAAACTATCTTTTTACCAAATTTCATCTATATTGGTTCAGTAGATCCAGAAATTATCCCCTACAACCTCACAAACTCGCAATTCAGAAACTCACAAGCTTTACCTCTTTATAATATTAGTATAGACTAAATATATAATTTATGTAATCTAAAAATGGAAGTCCGTAATAGTCTACTTCTAAGCTGTATCGATTAGAAACTTTGGTAGTATATGAAATGTCTATAGAATCTAGTGATGGAATCAGGAGGCGGATAATATGACCCTTCCATGGTAACTGTTGTACCCGTCGAATTTGGGCGTAGTAGGTTCGATTTGACGAATTCTATATACTACAATTATTAGTAGTTTTTGTTAAGTTTTTTAAACTATCAATATTATCGATTTTAATTTTAGAAATTAAACAAAAAAAAAACGGACAAGTACGAGTCTGACTCGCACACCAAGGCTCCTTAAGACGACTAAGATTTGACACTTCTTTCATACCGTGTTTTTTTTATATGAAACAGTCCTCCATAAGTCGGAGCGTGACACAAGCTACTTTCTATCCTGAAACATGAATTGAGATTTGTTACATTGTAAAAGACACGAAAGGTATCTAGATTCTGGGTAAAGTATACAGAGGTCTTTAGTGTAAGATATATTTTGAATCTCTAGTATAAGGTACATCATAATTTTTCAGATGTGATAATATTTTAATTGTTTCTTCCAGGCCTTCATGTCTACCTACTGTTCTTAGTGCGAAGTCTTCTGCTCAAGATAAACAATTCAGGACGCGCCTACGAGAATCAACTCCATCAGTTTGTCGACGGAGAGTTCAAAATTGAAGGAAATGGTATATATCCCAGCACGGTTGTACCTATTGAAAGTGTTTAGGACTAGATTCAAATAAATAAATATGTTGGGACATTTATGGCTTAGAATGTGTCATATTGACGGAAATAGTTTAATATGTCATATCATGGATGATTTGAATTGTAGCGCAGTTCGTTTTTTTACTTAATAGCGTCCATCTGGCTGAGTGTTATCTATATTATTCGAGCTTCACTAGAGATAAATGGTTGTTATGATGATTAAATGTATGTACATACATACATACATACATACATGTGAACTCTTTTGAAAGTTGCGCCTTTGAGACTTTTTTCAACTAATGCCAAAGATCATGTCATCAAAATATATTATTAAGACCTATCGCAATTATTAAACATCGCAATACTTATCGAAATCTGTACATTAAATATTTAAAAAATAATAATAAAAGAACAATGACTGTAACGTATTACGTAGGTACAGAATATAGACCCGAAAACAATTGTCATTGAAAATTTTTGTCTGTTTGTGTGTTCGTGTTTTGACTCGGGTCAACATTTAGGATATTTTTACTATATTACTACAGGAAAATCTCTCATGAATTATCAAAACACAATAGCTGGTTCTATCGTTTCGTTCATAGTTTACATGTTAGACATGTAATGTAAGTTTTTTAAGCTAATAAATACATCTTAAAATATATAAATCATCATTAATCTTACTTTTTTTATTGTTGTAGTTATACTTAACAGTAACAGTTTTATTACATTGTCGTCTGTGGGTACTTTGATCTATACATTTAATGTAGACATTATAGGGAGCTCATCGTTAACACTTATTCATTATGATTATGTTAAATTAGCAGTAGCTTAGTAAGGATTGATCTATGTTTCTAATTTTTATAGTAATATTAAGTAAATAAGCCCAGTCTTTGTTGTTGTTATGTTTAAAAACCTAAATATCTATGTTTTATTATCTTTATATTAAATGTTTTAGTTTTAATATTGGATATTTTATAATTTGGAATTAAATTGTTCAATAAAAATACTGTTATGTAAATTATCAATCTAAATATGTAAAAAGTTGTTATTAATACCTTTCATATTTTATATTATATTAATATATAAATGAAATGTTACTGTAAATAAACATTCATAATAAAAGTATACTTTCTTAAATTTACGCGAATATTTGAACAATTTTACACTTGTTTGGATTTGTAGACATGGTCACAGGAAATACCATGTTTGCTGTAAAACATTCGATACGTCGGGAACCAGAATTAGCTATAGGTACATAGTATAATAAAATTCTAATTGAGTCGAATCTGTACATTAAACCTACTTCCTTAGAAAATGTTATTGAAATAGTCATGATTTACGATACAGAGGCCGAATCTATAGTTTTTAGAATTTTTTTCTTTCTTTCTGTCTGTCTATCTGTCTGTCCTTCTGTGACCGCATCACGAGAAAACCATTGGATGAACTTTGATGAAATTTATCTTTTTACTGCAGGAAAATATCTTATCTTTCAGTAATCTATACCTACTGAACCTCAAAACGTTCCTAGGGACGAACTCGAGCGAAGCGAGAGTGAGTCGCTAGTATAAAATAAAACCATGACAAAATCTGAAAATATAGTTTCATTTAAAATATACTCGTAAGTATTTTATCATTATAGAACTATTTCATTTTCACTTCTAACCTTAAATCATATTTGCCTATACAATTTTATCAGGAATTCAACATTTTATTTCGTTAAAGGCACATGCCACAACTAAACCTTATATTCCGACTTATAATTTTAACACAATGGTGTACCGTAGGCGTAAGCTTCCTTACAAAGAGCACAATTCCGCATATCCGCGCCTTAATCGTTAAATAGGATAATGTAGTCGACGTCAATTGTAAATGCTGTGAAGTCACAGGCAGATTTAGGACGAAAGTTAGCAGGTGAACGCGTGATAACACTCTCAATTCATCTATCAGTTTAGGCGAGATCATAAATAAATATCGTATAATTTGTTGAAAAAATTTAGATATATTTTAGACTGCTGCTAGACTATTTTGGTGAGTTTTCCTTACTGCAAACAGGGAATGTGTTAATGGTAAAATGCGTTTGGAAATACCGGAGTGCAGACGGTGTTGCTGCTGCGTTCCTCTACGACGCGGTATCCTCGTTTTTGGGTACATCAATTTGGTAAGTCATTTATTTGCTTATTACGAAGCCAACATAATATGCAAATAACTTTTATTTCTTTATTTTTTTTTGATCTAGCTTTATGAACAAAATTTTATCTAAATCTAAATGATATATACAATAATATATATATATATATATATATATATATATATATATATATATATATAATTTCGTATTTATAATTAGAATTTTTGCTGCAAATACTTTTATTTTATCCCATCACTTTGCTAGTAATAAATATCCTTTAGCCTTAAACTCGCACCATGACACAATAATAGTTTACTAATAGAAGGAAAAATTGAAAAACTTCTAATAAATTCGTATTAGTTGTGTCACGGTAATGTCATGTAACATTACCGTGGTTGTGTTTTCAATTATCAATAGACTGAAATATTCTTAAGCTTTTTCTTTCTTTCTTTCTTTTTCTTCTATATTCTTTATCTATTTTTTTCTTCTATATCTATTTTCTTATCATATTCTCTATGATAAGATTATAAATAAACATTTTTTTCAGAAATATTTAAAAATAAAACATTACAATAAAAATTATGGTCATTACAAATTATGTATTAAAAAAAATATACTACTTTATTTACTTACTTAGTTATTTATTTAAAATTGCAATAATCTGACAATGTAACAGTTTTAATAAAACTGTTGCTAGTTATTGAAAAATGATTTTATTTGACGAGAGTATACAATCGAGCACATTTATATTATACGTGATATAAACAAGTATGGAGGCCAGCGCTTCACGATAACATCCGAACTACTCCGGACGGAACCGAACGTCTCGCTTCTTCGTTATGTTACGACTTACGATTTCTTCCTGTCTAGTGTCTACTCCTACCACAAGCCGCGTTATGGAATTTAAAATCTAAATAATTAAAATCGTGCGGTGATGCTTAATTGGTAATATGATCAACAATTGTAATTCTTTATCAAAATAACTAGTTCGACGTCACAAGCCTATACTGGACATGATTTTCGTTCTTTATTAAATTATGTTAGTTGGACGTATAGTTTAAAAGATATCACGATTTATGTAACAAGCGACCCTGAAGCCAAAAATTTTTAGTTAGATGTAATCGAGTCGATCGGTGGCGGCGCCGGTGTTGAACTAGGCATTATTAAAATTATAGGTCCTCAAAAGAAAGACTCACCATAGCACGAGTGTATCTCCTAAGGTACATTCTCAATAATTATTCTTATTAGTATTAGTAGTACTAGTATAAATGTATGAATTTAATATCACAGAGAATAGCCATCTGCCCAGTGCCCTGGGGGTATTGAAGTGTACAAGCAATTGTTACGGGAGTATTACGTACAGAAGTAGGTCACACAGGCCAAGCAAAATCTGATACAATGGTACATAGTTTTATTATTTTGTAAAGAGTCAGAGTAACGCCTCAAAGAAGATTACGAATATTAGACGATTTTCATTAGGTCATGAAACAAAAAACAACGCTTTCCCCGCCCTCTTTTCACTCAAGATGACAACTTAAGAAAACTGAAATAAGTATTTTATCAGAATGATAACTTATACAATCAAATAATTATTTTAAATTTTTACATATTTATGAATCCTCTTCTCATATAATCTTACTAATATTATATATGTGAAAGTTTACATGTTTGGATGTTTTTACTTAATCACGCCAGAACGGCTGAACGGATCTGGATTAAATTTGGCACAAGGACAGATTATATTCTAGTATAGCAGCTCTCTGGTATAGCAGATCTATGCTACTTTCGGTAACCCGGAAAACTGTACGGTTCCCGTGGGATAGATTTGTATTTGTTTTCCTACAGGTGAACCCGAACGAAGCGCGTATGAGCCACTAGTTTATGAATAATTCCGACAGACAGTTCCGATACGTCGGAGCAGCCTTTTTAGCAGGAAACAGTAACGAACATACATACACATAGGTATATACATGCAAACTTTCACATTAAGAATAGTAATCCGATAGGATTAAAAATATTGCTTTAATTGTATTTCAGATGTTTTCAATATGTATAGTGGTGATGGAATCAGTTATAAGTTTCAACGAATTCAACACGACACACATGATGGCTGTGTACAAGGGTGTATCCTTCTATTCACAAGCTTGGTTCGCCTTGGTTCTGTACAGTGCTGAGATTGTATTTAATATTGTACTTCTAATCGGAGCTCACAAGGTTTGGATGAAATAATATCAAACTATCTTTTCGGATTATTTCGTGGACTTATATAGATCTATGGTTCCCGACGTTTCGAATGCTTTACCGTAATCATCGTCACGGGAGAGACTAAGGTTTTAGATATCTCAAAGTATTATGAAACAATATAGTTGAGATACTGCTCTCGTTTTTTCTATTTTAAAAAATCTATCATAAATTTTTATTGCCTCTAATGAATTGGGCAATCTTGCAAAGATTTGAAGGCTTGGAGCTAACTATAAAAGATATTGCAATCGCTGTACCTAATTCATCTTCTTTATAATTTATGTTACTTCTACTCATCAATCCATAATCATTTGACCATAAAACAGTAAGTATTGAAAGATAATTTAAATGTTTTATTTGCAGAAGAAGACAAAGTTGCTTAGAGCCTACTACTACTATGGAATTACAACCACCCTAGCATCTCTCGTAACGTTCGTAGTGGTAAGGCATAAAGAACTATATAGTAATTGGGGATATAACATTATAGAATGCACCATCGTGTTTTGTGGTATAGGTAAGATATTTTTGGTCACTGTCATTTTCTTTCTCATATAATTTTCCTAACTGTTAGTAATGGTCCCAATAAAATTGATTTAGCCGTTTTTCTTTTATACAGAATCCCGCGGAAGCTCTCTTCCTTTATTCCCGGGGTAAAAAGGAGCGTATACCAGTCTCCCTCTAATTCTAATACTATCCTAAAATAATATATAAATAGGTATAAGTATTATAATGGAAAATATTTAAATTTTTTGACCTAAATATTTAATTTCAGGACTTCAAGTCTATCTTTTGCTGCTGGTTAGAAGCGAACTATTGAAGATGCGACAAAGTAGTCGTTTTTGCTACGTGAACCACGCCGCGGAGATGGTAGTAGACGCTCCTCTGCAAACTGGACGAAACCCTTTTTGAAGGAACCTTTATTATAAGTTACTTTAATTTACTTATTTTATGCACCTGTATTATATAAAAAGTGACAACTAGATTTAAATAACACTTCATAAATAAAATTGTAAAAAATTAAAGTTGTAATTTGATTATTTAAAAAAAAAAATCTAAGGGTAAGCTTGCTAAGGGTAAGGGTATGCTTGCGTAGGTAAGCCCTGCGCACACATGCCCTAAAGAAAACCATGCAAGTGACTGCCACACACACAGTACAGGCAAAACTGCGTACCATATATTACCACTATAGCATATGGCCAATTTTATAGAAGCCATATCGGCAGTAAAGAAATATTGTGTGTTGTATTGTGAAAATGTTTGTTTTATCGCATCACTCGCAAACCGCGCGAAGATAATAGTATAATATAATAAAAAAAATATAAAAAAAACTTCAGGTCATGGTCTTTTTGAGTACTAAATCGTTTTAGCGTGAAAGAGTAACAAATATGTTTACTGTATGGCAGCGCTTAATAATAATAGCCCGGTTGGCTATTCTAACTTTTTTAAGGCGTATAAATTGCATTGCTATTATATTTTTGTTATCATCATATTTTTGTGATTTTTATCAGATTTACATAAGTATACTTTATTTGAATCGTTAAATAGGTCAAAAGCCGTTAAGTATAAGAAAACATAAGATCGGACGTGAATACATAGTAGGTACAAAAATATATACAAGTCAAATACAAAACCCTCCTTTGAGCTTCACCGCAGTCGGGTAAAAGGAGTAAGATCAATGGCATGTTCCTTACAGTTTTTCATAAAAAGTTTAACTTTATGAAACTTTCTTTCTTTTCCTGCAGTAAAAAGTATCCTATATGTTGACCAGGATGATGATGATGATGTTCTCCTAGCCGATTCCGGCTACGGCGGCCAATCTCATTGAGACTAGCCAACTGCGCAGGAGATATTATAGTGCACAAGTGTACGCGCTGACACACGTGTACTCTCTATTCCTGTCACTCTCATACTCCGGTGGGACGATTGCTCGACACGACCGGTGAGAGTTAAGGCGCAGGTCCGACGGCTTTACGTGCTCTCCGAGGCACGGGAGAGAAACACCGCCAACTTTCCAACTCCGGGCTGTTACTGAGACTTACTATACAGAAAGACTCAATAACTAAACTTGGCCCGACCCGGGACTCAAACCCAGGACCTCCGAGTGTGCAGCCGTACATGCTAGCCACTACACCACCGAGGTAGTTTAACCAGGATAACCAGCTATCATCAACCTCATCTACCAAATTTCATCAAAATCTGTCCAGTGGTTTTCTCGTGATGCGTTCCCAGATAGACAGACAGACAAAAATTCTAAAAACTATAGACCTATCTATCGATAATAATGACTATTTCAATGAGATTTTCCAAAAACATATTTAATATATAGATTCGACTCAGTTAAAGTTTTATTACATGTATAAATTTGTATTAAAGTTTATCGAAAAGTATTCAATCATTTTTTATAAAAACATTTTACAACTACGATACCGTATAGTATAACTATAACATTGTATAACCATTTCTGACATCACGTTAAATCTTAACATCAATTTTACCACTCACTAACTGACTGAGTTATTCACGCGAGCTAATGTTAGAACTAAAACACAACCTCTTAAACAAAAAAAAATAGTCTATGATATAAAAATTACAATTAAAATAATTTAAAGATATTTTAAATGAATTATAATTTACAAATGATGTTAATAGTATGTACATTCGCCAAAGCTTCGGTTACTATCTGTATCGTTAGTATGACGAACTGTCATACCCATGACGCAATTAAAAACCACGGCCAAAGGTGGACTGATACTGCGTCCTTATCATTTGCTATTTTAAATATGCAGTTATTCTTTTTGTTTTGTTTTTTATCAATTAAATACTAGCAACATGCTCTGGTTTGGCCCAAGCGAACAATGGGTCCCCCAACCCAATGTGCGTCCACCGTCCTGTTGGGGGAGGGCGGGTCGGGGCGGGGGCCTCGTTGATGCTTTAGGTGGCCCTCTTCGGTGGACAATGTTCCATACGGGTTGCTCCTGGTACTCTCTGATAACAGAGAAAAAAAGAGGGTTCTTCGGGAAATGACCTATAATTAGCTAATTGCCAGACGCTAATCAGTTCCCACACCATCATGGCAAGAACGCACTTCGGGGGGTTCCCGAAGGACCCGTAATATGTGCAATATCACCTGCAGGTAAATTTCTAAGAAATTAATTAAATTTCTAAGAAATCTATAGTTAACTGTAACGCCGGCGTGTCCGTAAGGCGCGAGGGAGTGAGGGATTAAAGGGTAAAATAAACATAGTAATTCTCTTTTATTCCTAAACTTACGAAGTAATGTTATACAAATATTATGTTTTTATTATATTCGTAAATCCTTCAAAAAGACATAATAAATAGCATCTGAATCAATTTTCTCTGTAACATTGACATTAACGGTTGGTTTCATTTGGAATTCTGTGCGTTCCAAGTACCTTAGTATCTAAGTCTGAAAAATATGTGCATATTTTATCGTACATATACCTCTCTTACTTCTCTAATTTATTTGTCAGAAAGCTTCAGAGGCGAGCACAAATACTAAGTAAGCTTTAACGAAGCCGGATGAATAATGCATATAAACATACAGACAAATTAACTTACATAAATTTATATATATATATATATATATACGTAGTATATTTCAATACATTTTATGTATATCTAATAATCTACTATTACATATAATACAAAATTGCCATTACATTCTATGAGAGTGATAAGCTTATAGAAATGTCTTAAACTAGGTACATTTTGTTAAAACCTTACAGACTATTTAATGTCAAAGTTGAAATATAAATTACTAAGATAACTGTGTGTAAAAACGATATCGTTGGGAAATCCTATAATCTTTAATATAAACTTTCAAACGGTCGAGTTGAGAAGCAGTTAAGTATTTATTCTTGATTAAAACACACTATACTTCAATCTTAAGGTATTTTATATAATTTAAAAATATACTTATTAAAAATGAGTATAAAATTAAGCACGTGCTGTTTGTGCTTCCCACTGAGGACTGGCCTGCTGGTGTGGGGGTACTTTGGACTGGTGAGTGACATATATTTTTTACTTTTTATTTGTTTATTTTTAAAAGAAATAAACGATCTTGATGGTAAGTGGCTGTCGTTGTTCATGGACATCTGCAACATAAGAGGAATTACAAATGCATTGCCGGCCATTAAGAGGATTGTGAAGAGCCGATACGCAGCGCGAGTAGGTTTTTTTCACATCGATATCGTTAAATTACTCTTTTATCATACATATGTATAAACAAGCCTTAAGCTGATCTCAAGATTTTATGGTTTTTCAGGTGATTAGTTACTTATTCGTTCTGCACACACTTTGCCGAATGACTGATATTCTGGACGGAGGCGAGCGGCCCGTTAACACCACCTTCATTTATCTTTCCATGTCGATGGCTTCAATGGTAGTCCACTTCATGTTCTACGTCTTGCTAATTGTGGGATTACATAAGGTGATTTTTTCTTAATAAACTTATTTATTAATTTATGTACCACAAATCTTAATATAGGTAGGTACATATATAATTCTTCTGTACGTGTGTTTGTTAATATACTCCTCCTAAAGTGCTTGACCGATTTGGATGAAACTTTGTGTATATATTTCATTCTGACGATGTGACGTCACGAAACTATTCTTGCAAGCGCAACTTTAAAGTTTCATAACTTTTTCATTTATTGAGATATTATTATTTTCTTATTTTTTACTTCAATTTTTATAATTAATTCATAAAAAAATTGGAAACTTCTCCATTTACGTAAATTCATGTAAATAATTGTTATCTAATAAATTGTTCAATGTTGCACTCACTAACTCGGCGTTAACAAAAAGTCGTAAGTTATTTTAGTCACCACCAAAAATAACTCAAATTATAGGTACCTACCTAGATTCGTTGTTAAAATACCTAAATGTATAAATAAAAAAACCGTTCATTGTTATTCAATAAGCAATTTTACAACAAAATGTTCTATTTTTCAGAAAAGCAAGACTTTACTAGAAATATTCTACGGCTTCAGTGTGATAGTTATGATTTTAACGTCAACCATTTCGTCGCTGTACATCCCGCTGCAAACTTACAAGTTGTACCCGCTGGTGAAATTCGACATCTGGCAGATGGTCCTCATGTACTCTGGGATTGCTGTTTTATTGGCTTGTAAGTTAAAAATCTAATTAATTTATTTTAATACTTTCTTAGATTTACGCGAATATTTGACATCTGTATAAATATTATAAATGTGAAAGTTTGTGAGTATGTATGGATGTTTGTTACTCTTTCACGCCAGAACGGCTGAACGGATCTGGATGAAATTTGGCACAGAGATAGATTATTTATTATAGTCTGGAATAACACAAAGGCTACTTTTTATCCCGGAAAAAGTACGGTTCCAGTGGGATAGATTTATTTTTGATTAATGAATAGTTTTAAATAAAACTGTCTTTTTGGATTTTTGTCTTTTTGGGTACATTATTAAGAAAAAGATATAGAGATGTATGAAATTGCTAAAAGTATAGAATTTACTATTAAATACTTTTAAAAGAATTCGTATGAAACGGTATAGTTATTTATTATATTTTGTTACAGTGCTGCAGTTATATCTGGTGGTCAGCGTACGTAGTGTGATATCGACTTTGGAAGAAGTTAAAGAATGTTCGACATTGGAACCAATCGAGGACCTTTGCGTCTTGCACAAGTATAATCCTTACAAAGAATATTACGAAGAATGTTAGTTAATTAAATATATCTACATCTACAATTTCATAGCTGAATATATACAGCATGTGGCACTTTTCGCTGTGTTTCAATACTGAAGGCTGTCTTTTGGATTGATCTGCTAGGGGAAATTGTGTAATAAATAAGAATGGTCGCCTTTTATGCGACACGACTGTCGAAAATATTGTCGAAAAACAAAAAAAAAGTATTATGTAAATGTAAATAAATTATTATAAGATTATATTTTTGCTTTTTTTTATAATTTTTTAATACGCTCGAATTTCGGAAAAATATAATAAAATAAAATAAACTTTGATGTTCACAAATATTCATCCATAAAATTATATTAAATATTATAACTATAATTCATACTAATATATAAATGCGAAAGTAACTCTGTCTATCTGTCTGTTCCTTTTCACGCTTAATCCGCCGAACTGAATTAGATTTAGACGTATGGAGATAGTTTAAGACCCTGGGAAGAACATAGGATAGTGTTTATCCCGAAAATCAGCCCTTAAGGGGGTGAAAAGGGGGATGAAAATTTGTATGGGGAATCAATGATTTCTCAAGTAAGGAATATAAAACTAATGATAGAATAATATAGTAGTCTATGTATTCCATACTAACCGTCATAAGGTATCTAGGGACGAATCCGAGTGAAGCGAGGTTGAATCGCTAATATGATATAAAAACCCCTGGCCTATGGAGTCAAAATGGTTCGTTCGGCAGACCTGCCGTCGTGGCGTCGTGGTTGATGCGATCCTGCGACGCCCTATCAAGACGGGGGAGGTTCTGTTATGTTTTAGTGAGTAGTATTAACCTTGCGAGTCCCACATAAACACCTGTATGTATACAGGTGGTATGCGTAAATGCATTTCCCAACATAAGATAAAAAAAAACTAAGAATAATTAGAAATACTGAAAATTAACAAAAAATAAATTAAACCTACTTTATACAGTCATCAAATGCTATCACTTGCACTCACAGCGGAACGTTTGTCGTGTCTGAGGGGATGTTTGGCCCATAGGATTGGTCTGGCTGCTTAGAAAGGGTCTTGAATCTACCTATCTACCTTAAATAACATAATATATAATATTTAGGATTTCTATAATAACATAGTTTATCTAAATTTTAAAAGCACTTTACACGGGTCTGACGGGAGTTAACGCCCACGAAAAGTATCTGGCAATAATGAATATTGATTTTTGACAATATTCTTCAAAACATAATATATAAAAACCAGTTTTCTACTTTAACGTAGATGAGTATGATTTTTATTCATAGATAATAATAAAATGTATAATTATAAAATACAAAATATATAATATACCATGATTACAGTACAATGTACGTTCATGGACGGTATGAACATAAAAATAATAAAAAAGGATTTTTACCTTTTTTTAAAATAATCTATCTATACATATAATAAAACTGTAGAGGTCGAATGTCTGTACATAGAAAAAAATGCTAAAAACCGAGTCAGAGGGATGTAAGAAGAGAAATAGAACAAATCCAGATTCTTTTCATTTTTTCGTTTCTCTGTCTGTCTGTTTTCTGTTTGTACGGGCTAATCTTTGAAACTGTCGGACCGATTTAAATGAAATTTTGCATAGTCATACCTTATATCCTCAGTCAACATTTTAGATACTTTTCATCTCGGAAAATTACAGAGTTTCCGAAGGATAGTTAAAAAATTATAGTAACTTATGCAGCTTAATACACAAAAACTACTTATTGGATTTTAATGAAATTTTACAATATTATAGTTCATACATCAGAATAACAAATAAGCTACTTTTTATCCTGGAATAATGTACGGTTCCCGTGGGATAGATTTGCTTTTGCTTGTCTAGAGACGAACCCGAGCGAAGCGAGGATGAGCTGCTAGTTACTAAAAAAGACGTACACAGAGCACGCGTATAGGTTTTAGTTAAAGGCTTAGACTACCAACTGTAATCAACATTAAAATAATCTGCCTATCACATCATTACCAAATAAAAGAAAAAACTAAAATATGTACAGAAACAGGTTTTATACGGCAAACGTTTAGGTGTTCTCAAAAGCTGCCTTCACCTAGTATCTCTAATTGATTCAAATATATCTCATATATAGCACCAGATTGAACTTAAAGAGTACTTTACTATGAGCGGTAAAAAATTCCAGGCATCAGAAAGTTCAGAAAAAAGTAGTAGGGACCCTGTGGTAGCAGCAACACAACTAGTGGGGCTGTGACATATTTTTGTATTTATGAAGAAGGTGGTGAGCAAAATAAATTTGAGAATTTATAAGGTAGAGTATTGAATTTTCAACTTTCAATATTTTAGAAGCGCTCTCGCTGTTCGAAATAATGTTACAGATAATTTCAATTCTTGTGCATCATTCTAGCTGTCGGTATTCCCAAATAAAATGCTGACCGGTTCTCGACAGTAAAATTCTGAGAATAATCAAACGAGACACATATACATAATAAATTAAATTTAAAAGTATCTGTCTGTAAGAACTACGAGTATACCTATATACCTTTAAGACATCTAAAACCTTAGTCTCTCCCGTCACCATCATTGCTGTAAAGCAGGCATTCAAAACGTCGGGAACCAGAAATCAAAAAAAACTGCGAAAAAATCCGAAAAGATAGTTTTATTTAATGCAACTTGTAATTTATGATGTTCTAATAGAGAATACTAAACAGAAATATAAGCAAAGTCATGACTCAAAAATATACTTTTCGTACATGTGTTTGATTAAACTTCTCACATGTAAATAATTAGCGACAATTGCATGTTATACGAGTACGTCCTATGCAACGTAACTCTAATGCAATCTTATTCAGTACTAGCATTGTCCGCGGCTCCGCCCGCGTTCAGATGACCAAAAACCAAATTCTTAGGTTTTACATATGTACCTATTAGTATACTCTTACATTGCAGTTTTTGTATATTTTCTCAAAAATGAGATAATTTCCCGCGGTAAAAAGTATCCTATATGTTGACCCGGATAACCAGCTATCAGCATACTAAATTTCATCATAATCCCTCCAGTGGTTTTTCTGTGATGCGGTAACAGACAGACAGACAAAAATTCTAAAACTATGGATTCAGCCTCTGTATCGATAATAATGTTTATTTCAATAAGATTTTCCAAAAAATATCTAATGTACAGATTCGGCTTAGTTATACTTTTATTATATGTATTAGATACCGCTATCGATTATTAAATATTTTTACTTTGTATTTTTTGTTTTAATTACATCACTAGAAAATGATCTAACGGATATCAGTAAAAAAAAAAGGTAAAGTTATTTATCTAAGTATTGTTGCTCTGCAGATAGATCATTGATAGTCTATAACATTCCTCAATATGTAGGTTATATTATATGTATACAAAAAATATCTTATTTAATATATATACATAAAAAAACAAACTCTTCATTGTATGAAACAAAATATTGCTATAGAAATTGCTAATTTAACTACAAAGATTTAAATTTTATCCCGATTGAGGTTATCAACGGACTTCTACAAAAAGGAGGAGGTACTAAATTAGGCTGCATGTTTTTTGTTATGTTTGTTACCTCAGAACTCCGTCATTTATTAACCAATTTGGCAGTTTTTGTAAATATTGTTTGAAAGTGTATACTTCCAGATCGGTCCCATTTAAATAAAAAAAATACCACCCCTAAGGGTGGAAAAATAGCTCATGATGAATTTAACCTACTTCTAATTGTTTTATTAACTTGAAACTTTGCTTGTGTTTCTATTTCCGTTGATCGTGCAGTGGTTCGGTATCGTTGATCTGATCTGATGGTGAAGCCAGATGGTCGATAGGTGGAACTCTTCAACGTCTAATAGTAGATAGTTTGAGTTTGGGCTTATTTTGTTTGATTTGACAAACACAATAATTAGAGTCGGATTTTAGAGCCAGAATTTTTAGGTTCATTAATAAAAGCAAATTTTAGTTTGTCAGTCTTCATATAAAAATTGGCATCAAGCGAACTTAAACGGCTTAAGCGAATATTTTATTAAAATGCTTTCTTCTTACTTTGCTACTACTAGGTATATCTACACAAAAAGGGAGAAATAAAAAATGTTTTAAGAAAAAAATAAAAACGGGCCTCAAAAAAAAAAGTAAAAAAATAACTGATTGGTAGTTTTCGTTTACTATAGATACCCTATTGAATACTTTCGAAGTCAGTGCCAGCCGATACAAATCAAAGCACACCGACTTCGAATATATCTGATTAGGTATCTATAGTAATTAGTAAATGAAAACTACCAATCAGTTATTTTTTTACTTTTTAGTGCTTTTTTTGAAGTCGATTTTAATTTTTTTCTTAAAAAGTTTTTTTTAATTAAATAGCAAAACGACAGTAGGTAATAATTATTTGAGATTAAACCAATTACTACTGAAAAAGTTAGTTTTCCCAGATTGCATTTCAGAAAAATGTGGGCAAATCCTAACTTCCGTAGATGTGTATGATGTATTTACAAACAACGCGACATGATAACAAATATAAAGCCAGTTCTGCAAGAGTCGCACGCGGCAGACGGGTCAGAGCGCGCGCGGAGTCGCTCAGTGTCGCACTCACTCACTGCGAGCGTCTAAAAATAACTTAGAGGTCCACGTATCTCTTCAAATGAGTGGAGTTCAATACACTTAAATATTGTCGTTTAGTAATTGTTGAGATCAGGAATCAAGAATGAGGTGCGAATTTCCGATGATCACCAGATGCTGCTTCTGCTTCCCGCTAAGGCTGGGCTTGCTCGTTTGGGCGTATATAAAGACGGTATAATGTGTTAATTTTGTATCATTTTTGGATTATTTCTATTTCTGACAACTGGAGGTTCTCATGCCACGGAATGTACGTTTTTATCATGTATTGTCAGGGGGCAGGGGTTGTTCATCAGCATGCAACTCGCTTTTCATGAAAGCAGCTCGTTAATAAATATACTCGTAGATGAAAATACGATAAGCTCATAATAATAGCCGATAACAATATAAAGAAAGTATATAAGAAAGGACTTTATGCCTTCGAGTTCAGAGACCGAGTTTCCACAATCCATTCTGCTATCAGAGTTGTACCAGGATCAACCCGCATCCCCCCCAACGTGCGTTCACCTTGTCGTGGTGGAGGGGCTCAGTAGTGTACTCGCGAAGCCAAGAAACGCACAGGGAGGTGGCCCGCTTCGGTGGGCGGTGGGAGGCGGCCTTCTTCGGAGGGCGGTGTACCATGCGGGTTGCTCCTGGTACTTCTCTGATAGCAGAGTGGACCGTGGAGCAACCCCCATGGTTGTTGTGGTCTGCTTCGGCAGACCTGCCGTCGGGGCGTCGTAGTTGAATGCGTAAGCAATCCTGCGACGCCCCATTAAGACGGGGGAAGGTTTTGTTGGGTTTTAGTGGGTAGTACTGGCTTCGCCGGTGAGTCCCAAACTTCGTGCGTAAATGCATTTCCCAACGTTTATAAAAAAAAAGGAGCAACCCACATGGTACATCGCCCACCGAAGTGGGCTAAAAAAACTAAAAGTCACGCAAAACAATAAATCATGATTTATATTTGTACTCTTTGAGTGGATGTTTTATCATTAAATCAAATTATATCGTAAACGTAAACAAAATTGCAATAAAAATCATATAATCGAATGTTACCTTATCAGTAGGCGGTTCCACACATTGCCCATTATATACATTTATGATTTACATATGTATATATGAACAAATGATAATTAGAAATAATTAGAAGCTATTCGCTTGCAAAATATATATTTTATTATTAATACGTATACACAGTAACTACTTAATTAATGCAGTCGATGGGCTCTCTATATTCCACTACTAGTCCCACTGCTATCAGTTCACTTCACTTTATTTTTCACTTCCTAGCTTTCGAATTTCACTTAATACTTCGAATTCTTACTGATCCTTTGGCATACGTATGTATGTATGTAAAAAATATTATAAATTCGCCTCTGTCATACAGTTTCATGTATGGTTGTGGCTTATATTATAGTATTCCTTGTGTAAATGTGGCTTAGAGGGTAATTCCTATCCCTTTCAGTTATCTTAAGCTTCTTCACCCTCTTTGTGACATTCTTCCTACTAAAGTCCCATTGTATATTAATTTTTGTGCTCGATCTGTTTTATAGATTATTATTTAGGAGGTGTATATCAAATGTAATATATTTTAAATTCAATTTTACCGATCTTACAATAATTTGCTTGTATTTTTAATATAATCAGCAGGCATTGTGGTGTGTGCTTTTTTTGACGATACGTTTGGCTCAGTTTGTAGTGACCCTACTTGCTGTGCCAACGGTCGCGAGTTTGAGTCCCGCTGCGGGCATTTATTTGTGTTATGAACACGAATACTTGTACTCTATCCATGGGTGTTTATATTTATAATATGTATGTATTTAAAGTTATATATATGTGGTGTATCAACTATCTAGTATCCATAACACAAGCCTCGTAGCTTACCATGTAACTAGATGGTTCTTTGTGTTAACATCCCAACATATTTATTTATTTATTTACTCCTCCTGTTTCCTTGTCACACGACATTATGAAGTAAAGTGGGTATACTGATCCATTCAAAGCCAAAAAACAAATCACTACATTCAGTGACAGTGGCTACATGCTGGCCATGCACGAGGTCAATGAGACAGTTAAATCGATAGTTTAAGCAGTAAAATAGACACCCTGATAAGAGATATGTTATTTATCGTTTTTAAATCAATTAAATACATTTATATATCTATGTAGGTATGTATGTATGTACGTAGTGTTTGTATATGTGTATATCTAAATAATATTTGATGTTTGTAGTTTGTACCTAAACTGCACCTCACTATTATTATTATTTTTCTCACACTCGAGGGTTTCTGGTAGTGATCTCTTAAAGAGATAAGTCATCCTTTGTACACATGGTATTTGTTTTCTTTTTTATGTTTTTTTTTCGTACATGAATAAATAATCGAAATAAATAAATAAATGTCTGTTGCAGATATCCTCCGCTGTGTTGCTCTCGTTTTTGTTGGTCGTTGTAATTGAAGACTGTATCCGGTATTCTCGTGCAATTATGTTTTCTTTGTTAACTTTCTACATTCCAATATGGTCGATATTATCTATGGACATAATATTTCATATAATATTTATAATAAGTGCTCACAAGGTAAAGTAACGAAATATCTAATATATGTATATCTCGACTTAGTCATAAAATTATATATATATATATATATATATATATATATATAATACAGTTGGTATACATTAGTAAGTAGTTAATTTGAATTAATTGAAATCTTTGTGATAAAAAAAAATATTCTATTAGCTAAGAACAAGATCTACATACGCATATTTAATTGATGTCTTTAAATATAACTCATTTATAATTCATATTTGATTTCAGAAAGAACACAGGAAAATGAGGGTCTTCTTCAGATACAGTATATTTAGCCTTATAATATACATATTAGGATTGATTATGACGATATCTCTGTTCTTCATAGAATCGTTTATTTTTTATGTATTTTTCTTTGGATTTTTTCAAATGGCTATATTTTTGTGGATAATAAGTAAGATTTCCAATTTATATATTCTTTAGGGTACAAACAAGTATTTGTAATACAAAAAATATATGTAGGTACATTGCTTAGAGCTAATAGTGATTTAAGCCTCTGCTTAAGTGCTTATCAATATTGTGCATGTAGAGTGGATAACAAAATATCTAAGGGATGTAGTTTCTATCAAGTAGTTTGTTTAATTTATTCTGTACAGAAATAAGTTTTAATAATCTATACTAATATTATAAATGCGAAAGTATCTCATTTAAATTTCATTTAAATCCGTCCTTCAATCTGATGTCCTCTGGACAAATCTCACTGAGACTAGCCAGATGCGCAGGAGATATTTTAGTGCACAAGTGCACGCGCAGACAAAAGATTGCTTTCATTCTCAAATTCTGATGGGCCGATAATTCGATTCCGGCGATGAGAGATCAGGCGTAGGACCGATAGCATTATAAGCTTTTGCATCGCCAACTTTTCAATTTCGGGCTGTTATTGGAACTTTCTTAACAGAAAGGCTTAATTACTAAACTTTGCTCGACCCGAGACTCGAACCCAGAATCTCCGGATGTGCAGCCGTACATGCTAACCTCTACACCACCGAGGCAGTTTACACATGAAGGTTGAATTTACAATGTACATGGGTGAGGCAGCGGTAATTTAATCTGATACTCTTTATAATTTAAAAAACCCAAAGAGTGTGTGCTGTATGTATTGTTAAAAAAATAAATATTAAAATTTCGTTTAAAGTTGTAGAATGACATTTTGTCTTCCTAATAACTATATACATACTAATTAATAGTTTCGTGCTTAAGCGCACTAGTGTCTGACGTCGGCCGAGCCTGTCTCAGACCTACCCTCTTCTTAAATTCAATTCTCTTAATGACTTCAAAGCGTGCCCGTACTCTCTTCGCTTAACATAATTTATTTATTTAACGTTTATATCAATAGTAGAATTGTTGATCGAAGATTTAACGTGAGATAATACATTAGTAATATATCTTTCAGTTATTCAAATGTACGTGTTAATTCTGGTGCGGAGTGAAGTTGTGAAGCTGGAGAGGAACTCTAACTTTGAGTTCGTGAACCACGCGGCAGAGCCCGGTGCTACGAAGGAGGACTTAAGGAGTGTGGAAGAATTACAATATTAATTATATTTAAACTTAACAAGTGATGACGTACCTGCATACTATACTAGTAATAATTGTAAGATCAATTAATATTTTAGAATGTGACAGTCACCTGTCCGAGTCTCGTATTGTAAAATATATTAGTTTAAATAAAATAGATAATAATAAATCTTTATCAACCGACTTCAAAAAGGAGGAGGTTCTCAATTCGACTGTATTTTTTTTATGTTTGTTACCTCAGAACTCCTTCATTTATTAACCGATTTGGACAATTTTTGTGTTGTTTGAAAGTGTATACTTCTAGATTGGACCCATTTAAATTTCAAAAAAAATACCACCACTAAGGGTGGAAAAATAGCTAATGATGAATTTAACCTACTTCTAATTGTCATATTGACTTGAAACTTCGCAAGTGTTTCTATTTCCGTTGATAGTACAGTGGTTCGGTATTGTTGACCTGATCTGATGGTAAGGCCAGAAGGTGGATAGGTGGAACTCTTCAACGGCTTATAGCAGATACTTTGAGTTTGGGCTTATTTTGTTTGATTTGACAAGCCTAACACGTTAGAATTATTACTTTGCAACTACTATCTATACTAAAAAGGGAAAAATAAAAACTTTTTAACAAAAAAATAAAAACCGACTTCAAACAAAAGCACTAAAAAGTAAAAAATAACTGATTGGTAGTTTTCATTTACTATACATACCTAATGAAATATTTTCGAAGTCGGTGTGCTTTGGCTAAGTAATTAAAGCCTACCTATTAAATACATATATACCTAATCAAATATTTTTGAAATCGGTGTCAGCCCATACAAAGCAAAGCACACCGACTTCGAAAATATTTCATTAGGTATGTATAGTAAATGAAAACCACCAATGAGTTATTTTTTACTTTTTAGTGCTTTTGTTTGAAGTCGGTTTTCATTTTTTTGTTAAAAAGTTTTATTTATACATAAATCTTACTTTTATTTTTTGACTTGTTATCTAAACAATAAAAATGTTGTAATTTTACGTAGTGGGGCTGCGTTAAAAGCGAATTAAAAAGATGAAAACAAGTTGACAAAAGAACATAATATTATGCAGTCATGTACAGAATCGTATCAAGACTCGCAGCTAACTCGTCAACGAGTTGCCATCTTTTTATTAGGGTTTTACGCAGTCAGGTATTTTTAAATTATTTTTTTATTTACAGCTTTTAGTTTCAGTTAGACTGAGACAGATGTTTAGTTTGATTTTAACAATTTGTCATTTTAAATCATGAAGTTGTATATATTTTTGTAATCGTTACTATACCTTACGTCTATACCTGGGCACTCTGTGAGTCCCGTAGTGTAATCCATACTAATTTATAAATGTGTGTTTGTTTGTTTGTCCTTCTTTCACGTCCAAACGGAGTGACGGATTAGCGTGATTTTTTGTATGGAGATAGTTGGAGGGCCGGAGAGTGACATAGGCTACTTTTTACAGCAGGAGATAATCTAATTCCCACTAAAAAACATGTTATAATACAATTCAAAAAAATATTTATGATCAGAATTACTTGAAACTTGATGTTAATTCTCTTCAATAAAATTAAATAAATACGTGTTTTAGCATTTTTCGAAATTCATCCTATAAGGAGGTAAAATTCGGAATGAAACTTTGTATGAAGACCTTTTTGAGATTTTTTTGTAGTTTTAGCGCGAGCGAAGCCGTGGGTTCTGCTGGTTACTATATAATACTTTCTTAGATTTACGCGAATATTTGACATTTGAAATAAAACTATCTTTGTGGATTTTTTTCTATTATATTTATCGAAGTTACTATATAATTATGGAACGCGAAAATTTCTTCTCTTCTCTTCTCTTCTTCACCTTATACTTCGGCTTTGGAGGCAGAGTCTATTTATGGCAGCCGTTTACATGTAGTTAATTATTATAAAATTTACATGGTTCGGGATTTAAGGGGGTTGTAGTTGGTAGGTAGTACTGGCTATTTTAGCCAGTGATATCAGCAAGCGGTATATCAAAATTCATCTTATCAACGTCCCTAAGGGGGATTCCCGTAGAATAAAAGCATTGATTTGTTTTAAGACTCAGTTATATGTAATTGGTAACTAAAAACGTGCATATTTACTACTAGCGACTCACTCTCGCTTCGCTTCGTTTTCGTCCCTAGAAAAAAAACCCATGGGAACCGTACATTTTTCCGTGATAAAAAGTAACCTATGTGCTATTCCAGTCCATAATCTATCTCTGTGCTAAATTTCATCCAGATCCGTTCAGCCGTTCTGACGTCAAAGAGTAACAAACAAACATCTATCCATTCATTCATCCTCGAAAACTTTCACATTTCTAATATTAGTATGAATTTAATACTATAACACGTAATAAAAGAATACGTATAAATAATCGTAGTGGCATATGCAGAGAATAGAGGATATAAGGCTTTACAAACATGTGTCTCAAGTCGAGTTAAAATTATTTTTATTTTACTACACTTTCGCAGTTTAGTAGGTCCATGAGAAAGAAAGCTATCTCCTGCTCAGAACACAGTTTTGTTGAGAAGAGCCGGTGTAAAACTTACAGTTGCTCTTTTAAATATCTTCTTAGAATATGAATCTTGAGTTTTGATATGATTATTTATTTTTTCTTTCTGTAATTTATGCAAAAGAATAAATCATAATTTACACTTGAACGAATATTGTTATTATTTAAATTCAAATAATTTCTAAAACGTAAACAAAACTTGCAATAAATAGCACATAATGGTATGTGACCTTATCGAATCAGTAGGCGGTTCCACGCTTTGTCTTTTATATAAATGCATGAAATATATAACTACGGACAAATGATAATTATAAACGAGTATTTTATTACATCCTAGCTACGATATTGTTATAGCTAGTCGCTTGTAAAATGTGTTTTATTATTTGTACGTAAATAATTACTTTAGTAATTCGCGTCTAACGCAAGTAACTGCATCATGACTAGTAAGCACTCTGTATTCCACTTCTAGTTCCACTGCTACTATCACTCCACTTCACTTTTCACTTCCTCTCAATATTCACTTTAATTTCGATTTTTTATCTCTCTTTTTTCTGTTTCATTAATGATTTTGGCTAAAATTAAAGTCAGGTACTCCTTGTGTACATGTTATCTAGAACCCGGGTACTTTCCATCCTTTTCAGCTATCCTAAGCTTGTTCACCCTCTTTATAGCATTCTTCTTACAAAAGCTTCCCGCTTCATAAATATTTATTGTTTGTTTATGTTGAGGTTCAGTCTTTCTTGTAGACTTTTGTTGTAAATATATGTATTATATTAAGTTGTAAATAATTTAAATTATCTATACTAGTAAATACTAAAATTTATTTAAATTTTAGAAGTATCTTGTATATCTTCTTCTATATATATAAAAGAAAGTCGTGTTAGTTACACTATTTATAACTCAAGAACTGCTGAACCGATTTGGCTGAAAATTAGTGGGGAGGTAGTTTAGAACCAGGAGACGGATATAGGATACTTTTTATCCCGTTCGATTGCGTGTCCGTTGTGACGTGACATAAAACTCAAGAACGGCTAGATATTTGAATTTTTGGATTTCTTAGTTAGTCCGGAATAGGATAATAAATATTAAAACATCAGAAAAATTTACGAAAAAAAAATTTGTATGGCTAACGCTGGCTAATAACTATTTATATCTATTTAAAACGTACCTAGCGACGAACCCGAGCGAAGCGAGGGTGAGCCGCTAGTATATACTATTTTGTGACATCTTTTTATAGGTTTATTAGAAATTACAATAATTTGCTCGTATTGCAACTTATAGAGATTTTTTATCAGAAAAACTCAACCTAACTACACTTGACCTGACCTTAGAACCCTGGGACTAGAACCCAGGATATCTAATATGGAGTCACACATGCTAGCCATTAGGTCAATGAAACGGTTTAATCAATAATTTAAGAAGTAAAACATACACCCTGAATATAAATACATTATTTAACTTTTTTAAATCCATTAAACGTTTGTTGCAAATATCCTCCGCTGTGTTGCTCTCTTTGTTGTTGTTCACATCACTTGGCCATTGTATTGAAACTGTCGGGTTCAGCTGACTAATTTGTACTTCAACATCCCAACATGGTTGATACTATCATTGGACATAATATTTCATATAATATTTATAATAAGTGCTCTCAAGGTAAAGTATCGAAATTTCTTATATATGTAGTATATCTTGACATAGTCATTAAATTATACTTATATTTTGATGATGTTCTCCTGACCGATTTCGGCCACGGCGGCCAATCTTATAGACAGTAGCCAACTGCGCAGGAGATATTATAGTGCAGCGCGTGTACGCGCAGACACAACGTGCACTCTCTGTTCCTGTCACTCTCATACTCCGGTGGGACGACGCGAGACACTCGCGGTGAGAGTGTCGGCGCAGGACCGACGCGACACGTGAGAGTCGAGGCACGGGGGTGAAACACCGCCAACTTCCCAACTCCGGGCTGTTATACTATACAGAAAGACTTAATAACTAAACTTGGCCTGACCCGGGACTCGAACCCAGGACCTCCAGGTGTGCAGCTGTACATGCTAGCCAGTACACCACCGAGGCAGTTAACCTATATTTTACACTTGGTATAATTTACCAGATTGATTTGAATTAATTGAAATCTTTATATAATAAAAAATTGTCATAAAGGGCAATGTCGCTAACACATAATATGACAATGACATGTGACCATATTAATTTATGCCATGCTCTGATAGTGCTGAGCTTTATCATCGCCATATATTTTTTATTTAAGCGTCTAATTTTATGTGATACTAACATTGCCCGCGGCTTCGCCCGCGTTCAGATGACCAAAAACCAAATTTTTAGGTTTTACATATTAGTATACTCTTACATTGCAGTTTTTGTATTTTTTCTCAGAAATGAGATATCATTCTCCAGTAAAAGTATCCTATATGTTGACTCGGATAGCCAGCTATGACCATACCAAATTTCATCAAAATCCCTCCAGTA